TATATTGCTGCTGGAAGGAAAACAGGTGTCAGGGTAAGTGAAAAACTGTGAAAGGCACCAAGAAATTAATGAGGCTTCTTCTGACTGACTCTAATGTGTTTACATCAGGACATTTCACTTAACTAGAATGATGTATTTACTTAAATGATGGTGGATATCTTAAACAAGGAAGTTATTAAAATAATCTTTTTTTTTGCTTCTTGTTTAGTCTAGATATAAAAGTAGAAACAACCTGACACAAGATGCAGCTGTGAAAAGAGGCACCTTTGTAGAAAGAATTTATGAGCAGAAGGGAATTGCTATGACTAGCAGAAGTGGCTGTCCAAAAAAATAAAAGTAAATGATTGGCATGTTTAGCCCAAAAACACCTGAGGAAGTCTAAGTCTAAACTGACAAAAGAAGTGCCCAGTGGAAGAAGGAATGCTATCAGACCATGCTGGCACAAGAACAAGGATGCATTAGCTGCACATGAATAAATGTCATTTGGAAATTAGAGTAAGGGGTCAAGCCACCAGAGCAGTGACATTCTGAAACAGCCTTCCAAAATGAGTAATAATGGGCACTCAGCTTGCAGGCGGACCTTGATCTGTTTATGAGTTATGTAGTATGTGATGAGGCTGCCTGTGACACAAAAGGACTCAATTTTGTGTCCCAAAAGGTCACCTGCAGATACATGAAATTTTCTTCAGATTACCAGGAACACAAAAAAAAATCATGTTGGTAATTGTGCAAAGATTTTCTCCTTTGTGTACCTCATGTTTTAATACATATAATCAAGCAGGGAAATTATATTTCTTTCTCAGAATACGTGTTCTTGAGTTTTACTTCATTAACGCTTGTGGACTGCTTGGAGGTGACTGCATGGAAACTGCAACAGAAAATCAATTAATTTGCAAATCAAAATTCTGCTTTCAAACACTGTTTGCCTATATTGAAACTAGACCTACGCACTAAGCTATTCACTTCTCATCTATTTCTAATTGTGTTGTTATATCTTCATGAAGCTCACCGATGTTTGGCAACATTATCAGAATTATACCAACATTAAAATGTCAACCACAGTTGTATCACTCATCGATGTGATACCTGGAGGTCTAAATAAGAAAACCATACCTGCAGATAACATGCCAATGACTCATGTTAAAGAAATATAGCTCTTTTTTTTTTTTTCCCCATAGAATATAGATTCATACAGGCTTGTAACATTTTCCATTAGGCACTTGTAAGTATTTAAAAAATTGACATTGATACAGAAATATATTCTGGTGTACCTTTCCACCTATGAGAGTGTATAAGAGGACGTTGAAAATATTTCTGAGAGAACCAGTAAATACAGCTACAGAACAGTGGAAATTTTCCCTCTAATGCAGGCTCTTATGATCCAAAGACACAAAACAGATTTTCTTTTCATGACTAAATTCTTCAGCTACATTTGAAAGGATAACTAAGAGAGCAAACCTAGTAAACTCATTTGGCTTTTCTCTTCTACTCTGGTGTCTGAAATGAAATGTAACTATAAAACAAAGATAGTTGAAATAAGTATGTATGGGGGTTGCTGTTAAAAAGTAAATAAAAAGGATAAGAGTTGAATAAATTTAAAAAACAGTGCTGTTTCTCCATCTTGGAAAGAGGCTAATATGACTGAGGTTTTCTCCCTTAGACTGTCCAGCAAACCATCCAACATCATGATATTTGTTTACTGTTGCACTTTAACCATTGCTGAGTATAGACATCAAAAGAGGAAAATTAAATAGCCTGAAAAATCAGTGTGGAGTTTTTTTTTCCAGACTGATTACAATGAGAAATATCTCACCTTAATGATACCCACTACCAGAATAAGCTTCTAGTCTAATTGGTCATCCAAGCTCTGTATTTAACATGGTGTCATTCAGCTTCCTTAACTTCAGGTGGCCACCTTGCTGTATTCAGGAGCCTATGGCTCAATTCAGCTGCCTCAATCTCAATATCCAGCACCATCTGAGAGGCCCTAGGAGAGCTGAGACATCCATAAACAGATATGAGAAAGGATATACGGGACACTCGTGGCCTTCTGCAGAGGCAGCTGGAGCTCAGGAGGGAAAAGGCATCCAAAACAACAAACTGAATCAGGTCACCACTTGATACAGCTAACAGAGTCTGCAGAACAACTAACATTACCCTACAGCTGGTGCCTACACACGAAGGAACATCCCATTGCACTATTTCAGTAAGCTTTGTGTTGCAAAAGGAGCCTAGACACTCTGCTGAGACACAGTTAACAGCTTACAGACACCTGAAGTTAGGTTAAGTAAGCCAAAGCCAATCCTTTGTTACTAAAGAAAACAAAGAGCAAAGAGGAAAAGCAGCTTTTTTTTTTTACATATATTGTTACCAACTGCTCTGCTGGGACTATCTATTACTTCGTCCTTGTAGAACATCAGTCTCAGTAGAGTTTCTGTTTCTTTTAGGGTATTGTTTCTGCAATAAACAATTAAAAATAATATAAAGTACTCTATATTGGACAGAAGCCATTTACCAGCTGACTGCAATGTTAGTTGTCAGGGGTGGTATGAGCAAAAAAGTAATCAATCCGCAAATCCAATCATTTTCCTCTCCTAAAATGTAACAAAGGACAAAATGTTTCAAAAGAAAAGGACAAAAGGGGCTTGGATAACAACCTTTATTTTTCTGAACATCAAAAAAAAAAAAAAAAAAAAAAAAAAAAAAAAAAAAAAGACACCAACAAGAAACCAGTAAATAGATCCCTTTTTAATTTTCTCTTCGTATGACCTACATATGTGCTTTGTGTTTGCTCTGGCTGCAATCAAATCACTGCAGAGTTACATTTCCCAGACAATGCGGGTCCCTATTCTGAAGCTGTTGCTACGTTACTGGGCTGTACCCTGCCGCTGTGGCTGCTGAAGGTGGCCCAGGAGGGGTGGCTGCACCTTGGCTCACGGTCATTTCCACTGGCCAAAGGGGTGCACGAGCAAGGCAGGGGCTTGGCAGAGGTCAGAAGCAACACCTTTTACCCTCGTATCCAAAAGATTAAGTGAACTGCTGTTAAAGCACACGCTCTGTTCATGACTGATAGGCAGGGAGCTGGATGTTATCTATAACAGAACCGCCACTCCCTAGCTTTTCATGGACAGAATAATTTAGGTAAGTGTAAATCAAGCCATGAAGAGACCCACAACACAGTTTTTCTCCTCAGAAATAAAGGTTACATGCCTACCAGGATTACATGTTAAAACCTAAGAGTTTACCAGTCTCCTGTCCATGGCAGGCTCTACAAGGTAGCCACAAAGCCACGTTATGTCTGCATGGTATGGTGAAGGTATGTATGCATTGTACTGTATGCATTAGTAGAGCGAAGGCATTGGTGATAGTATTCTTCACTCTGTATTTACACCAGAGTAACTCTCTGCCTTCAAAAACATGCTGTTTTCACTGATGGGTCAGATCACATCCCTAAGAGAAACCTAATGCTCCTGAAGTCAAACAGACGACACAATCCGTGCGATAGCGCTGCATTACAGCTACGTGCAAACAGGCAAGCGCTGCATGGTCTAGGTCATTACCGAAACCTTGACTGGGGAAACTCCAGGGCTGGAAGATGAACTTTGTTATCCTAAATGTCTCAGGATAAATAAATATGCTTAAAGTATAGCAGATGAAGCATCCTGACTAGAGACTTGGGCAAATGATGAATTAAAGAGGCACTTTCTGGAGTATTTTTTTGGCACTGCTAAATACACTACTTGTACCTGAAAGCGAGAACTGAAGGAATACATAGATTAACTGGAGAGAGTCTGGAAGAGGTCAAGCAAACAAAAAACCCCACACCACACCTAACCACTCAAAGCCTCAAAATCACAATTCATGCTTGAAGGCACGCTGGAGGAACTGTATTTGTTTAGTTTAGGAAAGAAAAAAAAAAAAAAAAAAAAAAAAGGAAATATGATATCTGTCTTCCAATACATAAAGGACCTAACTATTAAAAAGAAAAATATCATAGCTGAGAGCAAGAGAATTTTAACAAAGGAAAATATTTTTCCCAGGAAAAGAGGAAAATTGCAGCACTTTAGTGCCCCCCTCTCACCCCCCCCCCCCCCAACTTGCTCCAGTAGCTCCATGTCCCTCTTGTACTGAGGAACTCTGACAGCAACTAATCAGTGTAATCGCTGAATCTGCATCTCCAAATGTTTTCAAAGTTATAAAAGCATTTATTAGAGGTAGTCTAGATAAGGCTGGAGGTCACATTATACAATCACTTGATATTCCAGCGTAGTATATCTGTAGTTGATTGTAGTTGTAAACTGTATTAAATAATAAGACTATCTGGAGAGAAAAACATCCATCAATTTCATTAAAACAATCCAAAAAAAGTATCTCTTTAGGCTATTTGTTCTCCAGTAGTCATTTCCAGCTATGGCCATGTTAGCTTGAGCATGTTGCATCTTGGTCTTTAAATCTGCCATAAAGGATGAACCCTGAAAACAGTTGTCCAATCACAAAAATAAGTAAATCTAAATACTGAAATAAATAAAAGAAATACCTCTTTCAGGGATGAGAACATCAGGAGATTTTATTGCCCTTATTGTCCTTATTTAAGCTATATATTTCATTTTCTCTATAGCATTAATAGCTATGACATTTGAGCTACTAGATAGCAAAACAGGGGGACAGTTGAACCAGGTTAACTGAACCAGTCCAAGTAGTAGTCTAGCTGTAATGGCAAGGAGATCTTACAGAATAAATGAATTGCTGCCACAACCAGAGTACTGTCAGCATACTCATACTTCCAGCTGAGCTGCAGAAAACCCAAGCACCTCCACACAAGTACTCTCTTCACGTGTCTTAAGATTTAAAAAATAGAAGACTGGCTTGGCCTCCTGAAGCATGCAGGCAGCAGGCTTGGGAACAAAGCTGTGTGTAGCTGTGTTTTACTGATTTGGAGGACACACAGACCAATTTGGGATTTAAAGCTAGTGGACTCTGAAAATCATCCAAGCTCTTACCTTTACAAACAAGAAAATCTCATGATCTTCCTCAAAGTTGTAAATTTCTCTCAAGTTACTGCTATGGGGGAACTTGAGGGAAGTTGGAGAGTTGGAAGAAGTGCTCTGGCTCCGACGCAATGGGAAGCCCAAAAATTGACAAAACATGTTGTTCTCGAATGTTCCGTCTTCCACATGTTTATCTTCCTGAGTTGGGCTCATCTGATTCATCCTCTGGTACGGGTGGTCATCTTCAGCGCTGTGTTCTGAGGAAGATCCAATCTCCCCATCAGCCTCGTGCTGAGAAGCCACAGAATTACTGCGGCTGTTTTCTGGGCTCTCCTGACTATAATCCATCATCTCTGGCTCAGTAGTGGTGGAAGAAGGAGAAGCTGGATCTTCAGGGACATGATTGTAAAGATGATCCCCTTTGTCTTCCTCATAGTCTGGAATCTCAAAGATACTGGTGTCATTAACATTTTGATCAGTGCTGGCAGAGATCTCATCTTCCATGACTGCCGGCTGGTGAGTTTACCTGCCTTCTGGTACCTTAAAAGACTACAACTGAAGTGAGGTGTTGACAGATAAACACTCTTGGGGAGGAAGCAGAGTCTGTGGTATGCTTTTTGAATGCTCTGCTACACATGACAGATCTCCAACAATAATTTACTAAGAGCTTTAAATCAACAACTACACTTCCGCTGAAGTAAATGATAGGGTTGTCTCACCGTTAACCCCTTTCTTGATCTGACTGCTGGTAACTATATCTTAGGGTTTAGAATCACTTTTTGTTCTTTGTCTTATCTCCTGACCAAGCATAGTGAAAAGAAAACTGAAGCACCTAACAGTATTAGAAAGCTATGATAAAAATCACATATTCTTTCACTTGTGTAAGGAGGTAGAAATGCAGACTTCACTCATTTACTCATCTTCTCAACACACTAAAGCCTAGCATTAAGGAAAAGCAAGGCAAAATTGTGCAATATTTCAGTGGCTACTTACAACATCATCAGTATCATCAACAAATAATGAATGATCGTTATAAATAAAACAAATTAATTAAAAAAAAAAAAAACCTCTATGCAGAACAGGCAACATACTTGAACTCTCTCCAGTTTTGCCATGGGTTCGCCTTAGGACCTTGAACCAGTCATTTTGCTTTTATCACCTTCACTCTCTCATCTGTAAACTATGGCCCAAACTGTAAAACACTTGTGAGCCTTGAAGTCTAGGAAAAGAAAGCACTGAGTAAGTGTTAACTATTATCACGTACAGTTTAATACGTTATTACTTCTAATCACATTTACCTTGCATATCTCTGTATTTATAAAACATAAACAACACAAACCCAAGTTTCCAACGTTGGGTTAGTTCCACTTGACTTTTGCAATCTATTTCTCCGCCTTTGTTTTCTCTAAGGAATGGAGACGCTCACAGATATCCACAGAATCTTCAGCAGATGAAAACAACCGCCTTTGGGACAGGATGATCTGACCTCTAAAAGACCCAGATCTGAATTCACCAGAATTATGGAAGCTTCAGATCTTACTATCTAAAGATTTCTTATCTATATGCTTACTGCCTCTCAGTTATGCAGATTACTAACAAAATACTTCAAATCTAACTATGTTTAATCTTATGGGTTTGAGCCAAAAACAAATAATAATAAAGTGGGGGGGGCGGGGGGCATTCTCTTGACCCATCATGTTGACTTAAAATCCTTAAAACTTCCTGAGATGCAACTGTCACAGCTAGGTTGGATTTCTAAAAGTAACCCAAAAGAGAGGTTAAAGAGAAAGATCGTGATTCCAGCAATCTCCAACCAGAACAACCAGGGGAACACATGTCCTTTCACGTGATAGAGTAACAGCTGCTGCCTGCCTGCAATTTACGACTGTAGTTTACTGTCATTATTCTTACATTGAACTTTTTAGATTGCTAATAAAGTTGATATATCAAAAGCAAACCAATAATTCAGCTTATTAAACTTGGATTCACCTTCTAAGGCTCTTAGATAATCTGGAAAGCACCAAAATCTTACTCACATCCATGTTTAATCACCGTAACAGTGAGGAAAACCACTACAGCAGAATTTGAATTCTCGACATCACAGAATCACAGAATTTCTAGGTTGGAAGAGACCTCAAGATCATCGAGTCCAACCTCTGACCTAACACTAACAGTCCCCACTAAACCATATCCCTAAGCTCTACAATCTAAACGTCTTTTGAAGACTTCCAGGGATGGTGACTCGACCACCTCCCTGGACAGCCTGTTCCAGTGCCTAACAACCCTTTCAGTAAAGAAGTTCTTCAAACATGTTCTTCAGACATGGAACCAGCAATACCGTAGAAAGATGCAAGCATCAGAGATTGATGAGATCTTGTCGCTCATGAGTGCACGAGACCTAAATGATTCTGAAATGTGTGCTGTGTAATCCATATTGCAAACTTCCAGCATTAAAAGTCAGCTATTAGGCTACCAATAAAACTGTAAAAATAATGAATTTAAATTACTACTGTCATGACATTTGGTTCATTAATCAAACTTACAGACTTAACTTTTCTACCATGAGATGCCTGTAGAATGATTTATATCCAGAAACTGGTGCTTTACATAAAACAGAGGTTACGTTCTGGTTTTGTTGAAGGATTGTTGCTATCAAGTGAAAATAAATTTAGTAGTATTAGAGACAAAACTGTTACAAAATTCTGTGTGTAGTCTAAATTGGGATTTTGCGGGATTCTCTTTGTGCACAGCTCCCAGCAGGAAGCTGGAGACCCAAAAGCACTTTCCTGGACAAATCCAGTTCCCTTATCTGAAATAGGAAAGTCCCAGTGACAGTGGAATTAGTGAAATTATGCAGCAGAAGGAAGAGAAATCCAGAGCAAAGACCTGCACTGAGGAGCAAGCTGTGAGGCCTTCAGCATAGCAGCAAGGGTGCAAATACCTAAATGACAGGCACTGAAAGATCTGACACTAAACCTACAGTCACAGAATCAGAATCACAGTCATCCCTTTACAGATCACAGACATACAACAGCATTGTCAGAGAGAGAAACTTTAGGGAAAACCAGAAACCCACTGTGTCATATGACCCTTCCAATAATTTGGGGTTCTCTAACTGCTGACTAAAAGTATTAAACAGAATTATACCTCCAGCCTCTTCTGCTTTTCTTACTGATTCTTAGATCAGGTGCTTTTAACCCAGTGTTAGCATGCAAAATTCAAGTTGTAACTCAAGGAAAGACAGATAGCAAAGAAGGAAAACAGCTCCCCAGAGTTGTCACTGAGGCAAAGAATTTTATTTTAATAGTAACCTTGCAGACCTCTGAGGTTGTAGCACTCTTCTCCATGTTTGGCTCAGAGCTTAGAAAGTGCTGCTTCAGAAAACTGTTCCAGTCCAGAAGTCTTGAAATTTTCCTGCGTCTTTTATTTTCAGTACAGTCTACAATCTGTCACTATAGTAAAGAAATGTAAATTTCAAGAAAGCTAGGGAAAAACTTCCTAGTAAGTTCATTGATTTTATAACCGATTTTTTTCAATTAATATTTTTTGCTTTTAAAAAAGCACTGGCATTTCTTCACATTTTATAGAAATTCACTTGTATTTTCATCTGCATCTGGTCAAATTCTTCTGAGCATGGCCTTGGTAAGTGACTCCCACTGACTTTCAAATCTTTCTCACCCAGGGTTAAATTTCAGGGTTAAATATTCTGGGATCATAAAAATTCCCTTCTTAGTTACTCGTGCTGGCAAATCACCTGAGGAAGAAAAGGATAAGGACACACTCAACTCCTTCAGAGCAAAACAAAGAGCAAAGGACAGTTGTGTGGTATTACAGCAAATGACTTTTTTTTTTTTTCCTCCACAAAGACATTAGCAGGATGCAGCAGCACCTGCTGGAGGGTATAAAATATCACAGGTAAAAGATATAAAAAAAGTGTAACATACAAGTATTAAAAAAGGAGTTGGTGTTGATTTCATTAGTCACAAACATGAGTTAGCTGTGTTCTGTCTTACCCTGCATGCCTACCAAGAGCAAAGGAAAATACCACTCAGCTCCAAGGTCCAGACTTCATTCTTGTGCCAGCGATAAAGCCCCACAGGGCGCACAACCACCATTCAGCATTTACACAGGTGGAAACCAGGTGTGTTTCAAATTACATGATATGAACCCGCCGCTAGTTTACAACCCTTACATTTCATCTGCAGGGAAGATAGAAAGAATTTTAGTGCCACAATTCAAAAGTTACCTGACTACAGAGGTGATTGAAACTGAGGTGCCCACACTGTGCCCTTGGGACACTGCTAGAGTTGTGGCCTGCTCTCCTGTAGTGCTGCTCCCTCCAGTCCCCAGCCAAAAAGATCTTCATCTTCAGCAAAGGAGCAGGGCAGAGCAGCAGTGAAAAGGCACCTTTCTCCTGCAGGAAAATGAGAAGAAGGAAGGTGTATAAGGCAAATGATTCTGCACTCTGTAGAGGTAAGAGAGCATTAAAAATCTCAGCACGTTGCACTCCATTCTCTACAGAAAAATGAAGCCCTCCAGGCACCCAGTCCCAGCCCCACAACCACCAGAATGGAAAATTACAAAGAAGAGAGATCACCAATTTCATCCATCTCCCAAATTCCTCTGGTCCCAAATCTAGAAGGCGTTAAATTAACATAGCAATACTTTCTGCTTTTAGTTCTGTAATTCAAACTGTGTCACTTACCACTATGTGTGTCATCGGCACTCACGTGAACCACCCAATAACACTGGTCACTTGCTTTGCAAAAATAGAAATAACCACATAAACCATAAGCAGCAAAGCTCATATAAGGATGGAGAATGCAAGCATGCAAGCAACAGAAGTATTTATTTTCAATATTTTTTTTTTCACTTTATGACTGAATTTCTTTTTTCCTTTTTTTTTTTTTTTTTTAAGAAAGAATAAAAAGAAAGAGTAAAAAGAGATAGTGAGAATTAACATGATTCTGATTACAGCTTTCAGTTAGTATGCATAAAACACAAGTCACTGTCAACCAGTAAAATCTAGTAGGTCTCATTTTTAGAAACTTTGGTTTTACTAAGCTTATCTATCTGTTGTTCAGCATCTAGATGAAGCTCATCGCTGATTCCTTCTATAGTCCAACAGTAGAATGAATGGTGTCAGAAGATGAAGTATATTCTGTTGATGGTATTTAGTAATGCAAATCCTCAGTCACCTGAGCTTCCTAAAACAGCTGTCTTTTAGACAGCAAGCTTGGAATTCAGCCACATTTAGGAGCCTAGCAGTGGGCATCAAAATTCACAGTAGGAACCTCAATTCACACTGCAGAGATGCCAAGAGCTCAGTTCAAAAACCCAAGCACACACAGACATTTATTAGTATTTAAGCTGCTTGCTTAGACCATCTTTGTTTTATCCCAATGATAAACTATATCCCTGACAGACTTAGAAGACCATGTTAAAATCAGACCCCTGAAGCTGCTACTGAAACTGTATGTGCTCACCTGGTAATCCTAACAGAAATAACCACCTCCAGCCTTGGCTTATTTGAAAATGTCAAGCTGAAGACCAGCTTATAAAGAAATTCCTGCACTGCTAAAGTCAGGTACCCCTCACCTCCAGAGAAGAAGAGAACGATGAGAAGAAGAGGATGTGAAGAAGGAACAGTAAGAACAACACCAGACCCCTAAACTCCGTAGCGTACCTCACATTTTCTCACAGATTAATAATTAAATGCAAAAAGCCACATTACACTGTCTAATTAAATTCCCTGTACAACAAGAATTTTACCTGGGTACCCCTTTATCTAAACCACTAACTTGCATATCTTCTAGAAATGCCATCGTACTGCCATAGTACCGGAAGCTTCAAGAGATGCCTCATCCATCAGTTCCATGAGTAGCTTCCACTAATTATTAGTCCTTGCTTAGGAACAGCAATCTGCTTCCACTGGAGTTTCTCAGGAAGTCATCTCCAGCTGGCTCCCACTACAATTTCACGCTTTAGTTACCGAGTCCTTCAGTTTTATTGGCTCTCCAGGTACTTACACAGTCTAAGCAAGAACCTACAAATCTTTCTTGATAACCTAGGCAAATTGAGATGTCTTTGCTTGCTTTATAGTATCTTTTTCCGGCCAGAAGAGGGGCAAGACAATGGAATAAACCAAAACACTCACAGTTGCTGGAAGCTGCTGGACCCAAACAGGATGGTGGTAAACAATGCTTTTTAAAGTCTGTAGGAACAGAGGGATCTTAGCATCTAAAGAGTAAGGGCCCTTTGCACTTGACAGCACTCACTGCAAATCCCATGAGTATTCCTGGCCATTCGGGACACTGGTTTTCTAAAAAACACCATTTATGACAGCACTAACATTCCCACAGCTTTGCAACTACATTATCTCAGCTACGCTACGGGTTCTGGGAGGAAGACTGTTTACAGTTTACAGACGTATTACAATAAAAATCACAATAAAATCATACCACTTCATTCTCACTCCTGACTGCATGGAATACTTGGATGAAAACACCACCAATTAAACCTTCTTACTGACATTTCCAGTCCCACCTTTTTCTTAAGAGGTCAGCAGCGCCTCATCTCTTTGCAGTTCCCAAACTGGAAGGTTTTATTCGCTACTGATCTTACATTGAACAACACAAGGCAAAGAACTTTAAGTAGCTTTCAGCTCTTAGGAAGACTCCATGCAGGGTACTTTTCTACTTTGGCTCCAAGCTCTCTCTCTACAAGAATGAGAGCCACAAGATCCTGCACCGCTTATTCCTAGAGCCATTAGCACTCACAGAGCTGTATGGCAGGAACAGACTGTGGAAAACAGGTCCAAGCATCTTCAGCTCTCCACAGTTTTTCAAAACGAGAATAGGTTGGTTCAAAAGGAGGAACAAGGCTGTTCAGTACAACACTGTTCTCCTCCAGTCTTGAGATGGTCACGTTTGGATGTCCAAGAAGATCACACAGATGACTGTGAAGGACAAGAGGTTGCACAGATGTTCTGGAAAATGTAGCTGTAATTTAGTGTGCACATAGAGTTAGTTCATCATCTGAAACTTACTTCATTTCAGTTTCATTTTAACTGTTGCTATATGCAGCTATTAGAGTATCTCTATTCTATTTAAGATACAGGAAGAAAAGAGACAGAAAAAACATTTCAGAAGATAGAGGACTGGTAGAAGCCTTGGATCATTGCATGATTTTTTATACAAGAGTCAACATGCCCTTGAAGGAGACCTCCAGAAATCCATTTGCTGCTCAGTTACCTGGATTCTGTGATCTTCAGGGGCTGGCTCCTAAACTCAGGACCTCACTGTAATAATGGTCATTTGCCTTCACCCAGATTTTTCTTTGCTACTAGCACTGTATAACAGATCTATTTAAAGCCAGCACACCAACAAATTTGACTCTGCATAAGACAAACACTTCTCCACCAGGAACTGGACAAACAATACAAAATTAATTTTGCACCAGACACTTGATTCTCATATTATAAATAGATTTTCATTGCTAAAAATACCAGGCATAGCCATTGTCAACAGACATTTTTCAACTTACCTGCTGCAGGGCCTAAACAATTATTACTGATTCAGATGTTACAAAACCCTGAATATTGGCTTTTCAGTTCCTTTTGTAAAGCTTTGTCTGGTTCATCCTCCAACTCCACAGTTAGAAATTCCATTAGAATACCTGATGGCCTAAGAAATATTGATGTTCTATTCGCCCAAAGCAACCGCTCCAAGGAAAACAGTTTTATTTGCCTTTAAAATCTGGCATCATTTCAACATCCTTGTTTACCCCCGAAACTAAGCACACATGGGAAGCCCAGCAACCAAGCTTTAAGCTTTTATACAGCAGAGGCTCTAGTGACTGATGTAGAAAAGGCAGTGACACCACACTGCTCTGTATCACCCCACCACACAGCCTCAGGGATATCATTCCATAGACAGTTTGAGAAACCGTGCGGTTAGGAGCTTCATTTTGTTTATAGTCTCCATATACAACCTATTCTTCAGATGAAATAGGCACTAGAAGCTGAGAGTCTAATAAATTTTAACAGCTGTTAGTCACTTTGTCAGCTTTTATGGTTTTATGAAACATCTTCACGTTTTTCTTCATCTCTTCTATATAAAGTGCATCAAAATACTAAAAGTAACTGATTTAAAAAACTACTCAGCACGCTGAGTAAGTCAGCAAAAACTGATCATGGAGATCTGTCATGGATAAAACTGAGGGGAAAAAAGAATACAGAAAAATGCTTCTCTTTCAATATTCAATCTAGTTACTTTAACTGGAAGTAATGAAAGTGCCCTGCATTTTCTTAAGAAATTAAGACAAATACCTGAACTATTCATGTGCAACACCGTGTTTCCACCTGAATAAAAAGGAGTTGCTTTCCCCCCACACCAGTACCAACAGGAGAATATGGTTGCCCATCTGGAAACCAAACGTTTTACTAAACCTAACCAAAGACTGAGAATGTTTTGTAGTTGCCGACCGTTTACTTCTGTCATTCAGTAAATTCCACAGACACAAACAAATGTGTATCATGGTTTTCAAGCTGCAACCACTCAGCTCTAGTACAGCAGCAAAAAGCTGGCATCTGAAGCATCTGGCAGGACTTAGTACAATCTAGTGCTTAGAACTACAGTCTGCAGACAAACGTGGGGTGAAATACAATAAAGAGAGAAAGGTGGTGAAACGTAACCATCTTGGTCATTTCCAGTTTTACTTAATATAACTATATACATAACTAGTCCATTTCTTGTTGGCATACACTGTACACAGAACTGAGACCTGCATTAAATGTGATACGTGTTGGCTAGCACATTTCAGAAGCGCAGAGTTGGTGAGGAACGCTGCCTTTATGATGCGTCAAATTGGACGCATTACAGGTGAATACTGTAAATAGGTTTCAAAGCATATGGCTAAGGGTAAACAAGAGATTACTCACACCTTTGAGGACCGAATAGCTGAGTAAGTATGCTGCCGAACTAGGTTAACAAGTGACCTTTGATGATTATGTCTGTATCTCTCAATAACGTTGGTAACAAGACCTGAGTCATATACAAAACTGAATCAAAATTAGACAAATTAAAAAATTGCATGTTATGTATACCCTAGACCTTTAATTCACTCCCACAATAAATCTTTAGAAGCAAATGCAGTACAGTAATTGATAAAGGATATTGCCCTTTCCCACGTGGCCGTGTGCATATTGACAGAGCTGAATTAGCATAGCTGAAAAAAACAACCCACACCACAACCTTGACTTGAACTTTACATCTGAATTGCGAGGTCTCAACTGTTTACCTTTTTCTTTTTCTTTTTCTTTTTAAATAATCCTGTGCTTTGCCACACTTAGTACACTCCATGAATCAAGGTGAATCAGAGAGGTATGTCACCTTGTCCAGCAGTTTTCTCTTGCCACCTGCAAATCAGCAGCCATAACTTTAAAAGCACGCCACAGTTGGCACACAGAGGTAGCATATCCTGTTGGACTCATACATATGTGAAAGCCATTAAGAAGAAACAAGCTGAAATGTATGCAGCATTCAGGACAAACAGGCTAGCAGGGCAAGCAATGCAATTTAGATCCTCTGCTTAAGTCTGCCATGAAGCTATAGACATGTCTCTTTCTCTCTTTTTTTTTTTTTTGGATGAAATTGGAAATGTAGTTATGAATTCTGCTGTATTCTGTTCAAGGACACGTTTTCTCTCTCTACACAGAGATGATTTTATTGTAATTCAGCACCAGTAACTTAACAGGTTTTGCAGAATTACTAATCCATTCTCATAATAAAAAGGTTAACCAACAAAATGCAAATTGTTTGTCTGAACTTAGGCAAACTGACCAAAACCCAGAACAGGCCTGAACACATCACACCACACACTGCCTTCTTACCAGCAGCCCTGGCGTGCACAGCACCTACATTCAGTAATGCTTTCATTATGCGTGTATTCTGGGCTTTAGGGTAAAAAGGTGTTGTCACGAGAGCATGACAAGGTCACGCAGAGCCAAGCGCATGAACAGCCAGCTCTGAGCTGTGGGACAGAAAGGGAGAGGCGATGGAGGAGAGTGGAGATCTGCAGCCGCACTGATGACCCCACAGCCTGGGGTTGCCGCAGCACCCTGGGGGAATGCCAGACCGCTGCTGGCCACCCCACAGCGTCCCACCTCACGGGCACTCCAGCCCAGGGTGACAATGAACACCATGGCCCCCAGTCACCACAGCCACCTGCTGCAGCTCCCCTCAGCCTCGCTCCCCTCAGTTCTCCTCAGCCCCGTTCCCCCCAGCCCCTATCACCCCCTGTCAGCTCCCCTCAGCCCCACTCCCCTCAGTTCTCCTCAGCCCAGCTCGCCTCAGCTCTCAACTTCCCTCAGCCCCCATCAGCTCCCCTCAGCCCCATTCCCTTCAGCCCCCTCAGTTCCTGACTCCCTTCAGCCCCACTCCCCCCAGCCCCTACCTCACCCCTTCAGCCCTCTCCCCTTAGCTCTCAGGTTCCCTCAGCTCCACACCCCAAAACCCTGTTCCCCCCAACCCCTATCAACCCCCCCAGCCCTATTCCCTTCAGTACCCCTCAGCCTTTGCTCCCCCCAGCCCCTATCAGCACCCCCCAGCCCTATTCCCCTCAACACCTCTCAGCCCCACTCCCCTCAGCCCCCCTCAACTCCTGACTTCCCCCAGCTCCACTCCCCCCAGCCCCTATCAGCTCCCTTCAGCACAGAATCCCAGAGCCATTAGGGTTGGAGAAGCCCCCCCAAGACCACCTGCTCCAACCACCCCACCACCAATGTCACCACTGAACCCTATCCCCAAGCACCACGTCCAACCTCTCCTTGAACACCCCCAGGGACGGTGACTCCACCACCTCCCTGGGCAACCCGTCCCAGTGCCTGACTGCTCTTTCTGAGCAGAAATGTCTCCTCATTTCCAACCAGTACCTCCCAGTACTCCCAGTCCCTCCCAGTACCCCCATCAGCCCCCTACCCCTATTCCCCTCACCCCCCCCAGCCCCGCTCTCCCCAGCCGCCCCCCCCCCATTCCTCCCCGCGTCCCTCCCCCCCCTCCTCCACCAATCACAGCCGCCCCCAGCGGGCTCCCCGACCAATCGCAGCCCTCCCCGGCCCCCCCCTCCCTCCCGGCCCCCCCCTCCCTCCCGGCCGATGGCTGCCGTTTGCCCCTCCCCTCCCCGGCCCCTTCCCCTTCCCTTCCCCGGCCGCCGCCGCCGCTCCGCGCCCCCTCGGCGGGCACCGCACGGTGGGCACGGGGCGAAACCGCCGGGGGAGGGCATTGGGGGGGGGGGTTTGGGGGCCTTTACGGGAGGATTTGGGGGTGTTTAGGGTGAATCTGGGGGTTTTGGAGCGAATCTAGGGTGTTTGGGGTTTTTTCCCCCAAAATAGCGGGGTGCCCCCGAGGTGGCGGTGCTGGGCTGCAGGGGCTCTTCCTGTGGTTTGGGGGAAATTTGGGGGGGTTCAGGGGGCCTCACGGGCCCTGCGGCACCTTCTGGCTGCTGGGGGTGCAGGGGGAGGTAGGGGTATTGGGGCAGAAAGTGGGGTCACAGCGCGCTGGGGGCACTGCAGGGGTAGGGCAGGAGATGCATGGGAGGGTAAACCCAAAATATTTCCGTCTGTGTGTCCCTGGAGTATCTGACACTGCTATGGTTAGGAAGTTCTGTGCTTTTCCTTCTCTGATCAGCCCGGTTTTTGCAAATACCCTAAAGGAGCAAAGTGCTGGAGCAGGGCTTGCCTTGGGAGCAAGGCAATCTCACATCTCTCATTAATAATCCCGAGCTTCCTCCTCTTTAACACCCTCTAAAATCCTGCTGCATCTCCCCGACCCAAGCACCTGTCACATGAAAGAAGTTCGAGCGTGTCCTTCCTGCTGCCAGCTTCTCCTGACTTAAAAGGACAGGGAAAAAGCTCATGAATTATACCCTGCATCCATACTGTCCTTTAATTCCTTGATAAGAAATAACTTCCATCACCTGCACAGGTTACTAATGTGTTGTTTTTTTTTCCCTTTTTATTTTAGAGAGACATATGGCACACAAAGAACAGGTTTAAATGCTGTTACGGTCGATGTATAGCAGCTCAGAAGGAAAGCAGAAGTAGCTCCTGGCAGTTCCCTGTATTGAGTAAGCAATAAGTCAGGAGGAGTGTTGAAAGGCTCAGAAGCCTTCCAGCAACTCCAGATGGTAGGAAAGGTGGGATGAAAAAGGAAATGAGTTGCTGGGCTGAGCACTGATGTGTGAACACGAGTCCTGAATGTGGAGCCAAAGCTGTTTAGTGCCTGTGCTTGAACATGCAAAAAAAATATGTGTTGTTTGGCTTGGAGTGCAGAATGTTAACAAGAGAGACAAAATGATGGAATAACTGCTTTAAAAAAAAAAAAAAAAAGAAGAGAAAATGACTCTTCCTTTCATTTAGTCTGCGATGAAAAATGTCTCGCTGCTCATTTGTTTTGATACGTGAGGAGCTATGGCAATATATGGAAACTTCTGAAGTCAGCAGGGAAACTTTCTGTTGGCCTCAGTGGTTGTTTACACCACTTGTTCTCCAGTTAACCTCTACAAGGAAGATGTGTGTGATGTATAGCTAGTTAAACTGGTTCCAGCGCGCTTATTTTGAATTGAGTCTTGTCTTTTTACATTTTTCAGGTGCATCTGCTTAATTGCTGGAAATATTTTGAAGCATCAACCATGAGCTTGCTGCTAACCTTGCTCCTGTCTGGAATAGTCGCCTGTTGTGGTCACCCGGGTGATTCAGTGCCTAGGTTACTCTTAGTGTCCTTTGATGGCTTCAGGGCTGATTACTTGGAAACCTATCATCTTCCTCATCTTCAGGAGTTCATTGAAGATGGTGTGCTTGTAAAACAAGTTACAAATGCTTTTATCACCAAGACTTTCCCAAACCATTACAGCATAGTGACAGGTTTATATGAAGAAAGCCACGGCATCGTGGCTAATGACATGTATGATGCGGATACCAAGAAAACGTTCTCGCAGTTCAATGATTCAGATCCCTTCTGGTGGAATGAGGCGGTTCCAATTTGGGTAACAAATCAGCAGCAGGGAAATGGGACGAGTGCTGCTGCAATGTGGCCTGGTACTGATGTAAAAATTAACAATGCGACCCCCCACTTCTTTATGAAGTACAATTTTTCAGTAAAGTTTCAGGAGAGAGTGGAGAAAATTGTTACGTGGCTGAACAGCTCTGATCCAGTAGTCAATTTTGCTACGTTATACTGGGAAGAACCAGATGTGAGCGGGCACAAGTATGGACCGAACGATACTGAGAACATGCGCAAAGTGTTAGAAAAAGTGGATAATCATGTTGGTTACCTTAAGAGTAAGCTGAAGGCCTCAGGTTTATGGGACTCAATTAATGTCATCATAACGAGTGATCATGGGATGGCCACATGTTCTCCAAAGAAGCTGATTGTCCTGGATGGCTGTATTGATCGCAGTAACTATGTTCTCATCGACAAGAGTCCAGTTGCTGCAGTGCTGCCAAAAAAGAGTATGTGCTGGTTTTTGTTTTTTAAGTTGTACATTGAAGGGGTTTTGTTGTTGTTGTTGTTTTGTGTTTTTTTTTTTAAGTAATAGATTGAGATTTAAATCTTGCTTACCTTCACATCTTTTGCAGGATGAGTGTAGCTAATACTGCACAACTTTGACATAATTTAATGGAAAAGCAAAAAAAAAAAGTCAGTTTAGAAGTTACTTTGCTTTGGTAATCAGTGGGATGAGGAGCACTGTGTCAAATTACCTATGCAATTAGGCACTTAGAGTGCCTGCTCCCTTGTTGCTCATGTATTCTATAAGGTTGCAATTCATATTGAGCATGAAATAAGCACTCAGGTTTATTCAGAAAAAAAAAATGTCATTATTGAGACTTCCAACTAAAAATCTAAAATCAATGTTGGTTGCTTTACAGCTTTCGTTTCTGTGAATGAAACTTGAGTTTTCATACTGTGAATTTGTTTTCTGTATCTCAGGGTAGTCTCTAACAGGTGTGACTCATGACACTGCTGGTCTTCTCAGTTTCCTCAGCTGTGGACCAGACTGAAGCAATTATAGCAAACAACATGATTTATAGATTAGCAAAAAGTTTATTTTCACTGCTTTGGCTAAAATATTGACTACTTTGGTGTGTGATTGCTTTCTCTTGATCTCTCTGCTTGAATTTTTTACCCACTCCCCACTTCTCCAAAAACACAGGGTTGAATTTTAGGTTTCAGACACAAAGTGCCTGGTTTAAAATGGGTGCAAGTTATGAAATCCACTTTGATACATTTCACTAGGGATGTAGAACAATAATTTACTCTGTCTTAAAAAAAAAGATTGTTTGGGGGTGGAGGGGAGGAAGAGATCTAGATTTAATGAGATGATTGCAGTAAACAGGACATAATTTCCAACTGTTTCATATGCATTTTTTTTCTTGACAGATAAAAAATACGTATACAACTTACTGAAAAAATGCTGGCAATCATATGAAAGTATATCTCAAGGAGGAGATTCCAGAACGATTTCATTATCGGCATAATAAGAGAATTCAACCCATAATTCTGGTTGCAGATGAAGGCTGGACAATTGTGCAAAATGAGTCTCTGTTAAAATGTAAGTCTCATTTCCTCGTTTGTGCTCTTTGTGACTTGCACTGGTGAACTGTTTGGTTTATTCCAGCAATCTGTAGCAGGTCCTAGCTTGCGAGTGGAGTCTTTGCACTTTAGAATCATCTCAGACAATGTTTTCCAGAACATTCTCAGCCTCAACCTGGGGTATTTGAACAGATGAGGAAGATAGGGGATGTTCTGTTGGCTCCAACACTTGACTAAGTTCAGCTTAATAGCCTGAGATACGCTTTGCTGGCAAACTTGCCTCAGGTAACTCTAAGTCTGTATTTCAAGCTTTGACCAGCATGTGGTTTAAATATTTATGCATAAAACCATACAGAAAAGAAACATAAATAAGGAAATATTTGATGTTACTGTACACACATTAGTGAACACAAGAAATGGGAGGAAATGTTATAAATAATAGGAGCCCAATAATAATGGCTAAGAAGCCAGAATTCTTCCTGTCAGGAAGATATCAAATAGCATGTTTCAAAACCAGTGACAGATGTTACTTCACACAATGCACTGGTAAGTTATGCCCTTTCTTCCTGCTCTACTAATAACGTATATATGGGTTCAGAAAGCAACTGGGCAAATTTTTGGAAGAGAAATCCATTAATAGAAATTAAATACAAAGGTACCAATTTCCAGAAAGTTTCTAAGCAGCAGAAAGCTGCTGGTATGCCAGGGCTAGCACTCAGCTAGCTCTGTGGCATGGTTCCCAGACTATCTCTTATGACTGGGTGTGGGGTGGCGGAAACTCCCAGTTTCGCCCAGCTTGTCTGCCCTTTGCACATTTAAGTCCAAATTTTGTCATTATTTGTCCAGAAGTACTGTTTATGATGTAAGACGTGCTTGTATTTGAATTTCCCCTAAAAGTTTGCTGCAATCATCCTCAAACTGACAATGTTTAACACCTTCAGTTCCTTCCTAATAGAACTCTTTGTTTTCATGGTTAGGTTCAATGTAAAGTACCTAAAAATAGTTAATAACTGTATATTTAGAAGTAACAATACTGTCTTGGTTGAAATGAGTCACTTGTCAAAAGAACTTTGCTAGCCACAGCTTTCTAGAAGCAGGAAGGGGGTGTTTTAGCCTAAATGGCCATGTAAGTGTTTATTGTTCTCGTGGACAAAGTGGCAGCACAATGATTGGCAAGTGTACCAATACCAACACTGTTCCTAGCAGTGTTAGCACACGTGCGTCCTCCTGCAATAGCACTGTTCAAAATGAGTAAATAGTGGAAGATATCTAATCAAATCTAATTAGATTAGATCTAATCTAATCACAAGCAAGATAAACGGTGCAGGTGTGTCTTCATAATAACAAACACAATGGTACAAAACGTTAAAAAGGAACATTGAAAGTATACCAAAGTGGTAAGTGTGACTTCAGGCAATAGGACTTGTGACATTTCAGATCGGAAACCGTTTAATGAAGTGGTTAAGGAGACAGTTCTGGGGGCAGATTTACTAAACTGATACTAAGAAATGAACTGTAAACCAAAACACAGTCGCTCAAACTCTGTGCTGAGGGTGCTATGAGAAATTTTGGCACGTAGAACACATTTGTCAGGCATGATATTAGGAAATTGGACTATGGCTGCTTTTTAGCTGTTTATATTCCACAAAATGTCACAGTATTTCTTAAAAATCTACCAAATGCCCAAGTACTGGTGACCTTGTAGCCACAAAGTTCTGTTGTGTGTCTGTGATCCTTTGCCTGTTTTTTGCTTTTGATTATGTAGGGATTTGTTTGGGTATCTAATCTGATAAATTTGGGTACCTAATCTGATAAGCGTGACCTAAGAGGACTTTAATATGCACAAAGTGAACACTGTCAACGGGAAGATGTTTGACTTTTATGAGGCAGGTGCTTCTTAAGGGGAAGTATCTTTCCAAAATCCAAGAAACACAAGCTTGCATTCCAGCTACTGACTTGTGGGGTGGTAACACCCTTTTCAACTTCAGCATGAGGAGAGTGGGGGGGGTGGAACTGAAAGTGTCAGTGAGCAGAAAGAAAAGAGATTAACCGGGGAGAGGTGAGGAAGGAACATGGCTGAAGGCTGGTGTGGGAGAAGACTGCTGGGGAGTCAGGAAGAGGGAAGGGGCTCTGGGTTCCTTCAGAGTTTGGTCCAAGGGCTGCGTTTAGTTTCTGCATCAGTCCTTGGTTACAATACATGCCTTTTGGGGGTGAGGGGAGTGCTCTATATGTAAACAGTAACTGCGATGTTAACTCTTGCATTTGCCTTTCTCCAGTAGGTGACCATGGCTATGACAACGCTCTCCCAAGCATGCATCCATTCCTGGCTGCTCGAGGGCCTGCTTTTCATCGGGGCTACAAGCAGAGCACAATAAACAACGTTGATATTTACCCAATGATGTGCCACATCCTCGGACTGACCCCGCAGCCGCACAATGGCACTTTCAGTAACACCAAGTGCTTGCTCACTGACCAGTGGTGCATAAATCTCCCCGAAGCTATTGGGATAGTTATTGGGGTTCTTATGGTACTGACTACTTTCACCTGCATTATAATAATCTCAAAGAACAGAGTAGCTCCTCCACGTCCATTTTCCCGACTTCAGTTACAATCTGACGATGATGATCCTTTAATTGGATAGCATGCAGAGAGCTGAGCCTAGCTTGCTAAACAGTGGTTTCAGCAGGCAAGTTCAAGATTGCACTGGACGGCATTCTTTGATGCACTTTAATGGTATCTGTGTAAAATACTGTACAGCCAGAACCTGTTAACTTGTTTGTGTGTGTTACTTGACTAGTAAAAAATATTTTCAGAAAGAAATACTGAACAGGGTTGCTTTTTGCTGGAAGAGATGATTTAAGAAAATAAAGATGTTTAATTTTTCATTCAAGACTTTGAATGCTTCTAAAATGAAATTCCAGAATGAAATTCCAGACTGTGAACTAGCAAGGATAGACAAAATGAATTTTAACGTTTGTAAGTGATAAATATTTTTGGTATTAAATTTAAATTAATGTTGATTTCTTTTAGTGTTTTTGTACCTGTATTGGAGAGAGATTATTTTTTTTTCTGAGTTAGAAAAAGTTAGTTCAGTTTGGACACTATATTCTGATTTGTTCTTAAATCTGGGGAGAAAGGGTGAAGAGAAGGGGTGATACTTGCTGTTTCCACCTTAAGCCAGCAATATGACAAGTAACTGGTGAGAAGGAGAAAGGAAGTCAGTGAGGAAAGAGCTGTTACGTATCACTTCTATGCTGGCAACTTCTAGCTTGAGCAATGAAGCGTCTGGTCCAACAGCTAGAACACTGGGCAGATGCTGAAGCTTCCGTGTGTGTCTGTGGATGACTCAGTTCTGTAGTTTCTGCACTAGGAGAGCTGAGACAGGACTACTTGCTTATCTCAAGGACATTGATTTAATCTGAGAATCCTTGCTTGGATTATTCAGCTTGATGGGCTGGAGTAGTAAAATGGCTGCTTCTAAACACTATGAAAAGTTTTTTTCAGGTGTGAACTGCCGAATGTGTTACGGAATAAAAGTGGGTGATGCCCTGTGTACCGGCTGATGATTGTCTTCTGAAGGCTGTCATGTGCTGAAAAGGAACAAGTTGAAAATGTCATCAAGCAAGGATTCAAAACTTTTTGTTTTAAACTTAAAGAAATCTAAATTTAAAGAAGAAGGCTATAACTTCATTTCTCAGTTAGGATGACCTTTTATCAAAGTTCTGGTGAAGACCAATGCTAATTGTCCTAATTGAACCTCTAGATTCCTTTTTAATTGTTTAGTCTAGTAATTTCCTGTACAAGAGGAAAAAAAGGCAGTTTGATTTAGATAACCTTAGTTACCTCATCCTTCAATGAGGAAGGAATGTGAGATAATGTTGTCAACGTTAACCCAGAAAGAAAACTGCAGTTACAAAGTCCTTTTCCTACATGTTTGACAGTTTCATGAGCTGGTGAGCTGAAATGAGAGCTGTGGTACGTGGTAGCATGCAATACGGTTTCTTGTTCACAAGCTCAAATTCAGTGCAATTTGATGTTAGCCACTGACATCCTCTTAGTAACTGAATGGACCTCCAAGTGTGGATCTTGGGGGGAAGAGCTACTTTGAACTGCCCACTGAAAATATGATAAACTAGAGTTAAAAATGTGCTCCGGTTTTGCTAAGTCATATCTCCTCTTGTCTGAGGATTCTGTTGTATTGATTAACCACAGAATACAAAAATGAACCTATTCTGCTTTCTTTTTCCATTCTTACTACTTCATTATTTTTTTTTTTAAACTCCAGATTAATCTGAACAGAGAGAGGCTCAGACCCTGGAGCCCCTTCAGAGGTTTTTCAATCTCTGCTGTTTCTAACAGCATACTAGATGTTTGACAGATGGTATGATATACCGGTAACTAGCTTAAACACAAGTTGCTGCTGCTTTGTCTCGTGTTGGAAGATCCGAAATACTTGATTGCATACAGTAAGAAACCAGGTTAATGCCTAAGGCCAAAGTGAATGTTGAGCAAGGTAGAGTGCGGGCTTAGAGTTGTGAAAGGGAGGATGCTCGAATTCCTCCCTCAGAGGGAGCTGTTGGATTCCGGTAATTCTGCTAATAAAGGCTGCCATCCTCAGAGGGTGGTAGAGGTGCTGGAGCTGCTTTGTACCGCCTGTATTTGGAGAACCACGACAGCTGAATTATCTTCATCTCGCTGGCAGGCAGGGCAAGACCAAACTGTACTGTCCTCTGACCACAAGGGTTATTCTCCTAGATGCTAAAACAGATTATCTCAGCACGTGCTGCGCTCTGTCCTTCCTCTCCTCCCTCCTGCCCCGCACTGTTAGCCTCACAGCATGCGATCCACATGCGTTCAGCTCCACGTACATCACTAGGACAGGCCAGGCTCAAGGTTAACGCCCAGATTTTAATTACCAGGAGCGTAAATGTGCAGCGGGTAGCACTGATCTCCACTAACTGCTGTAACAGATAAGGAAATGAGGCTTGAGTGCGTTGCTCCAGCTCGCCCTTCGATAGGAACTGCTGCAGACAAATGAGCTCTGTGAAACCAGAACGTGAGCAGCAGGAGCTAGCAGGAACCCTTAATGCCTTGTACTCCTCTTCCCTTTATCACTGAGAATAAAGCCTTACAGCGTGCAGTGGGAAAGAGTCAGAGAGCTTTAATGATTACTCAAGAAATAGAATAAAACCATTCCGATTGCATTGCCTGTTATTTTCAATCCCAAAGATGAAATATGCCCTGTGGGAGTGCTGAGCGCTCTCCTAGTGCAATTCTTTGCTGCTGGCAGGGTGAGTTTCAAAGGAGCTCATCCATGTCCAGCACTAAAGCCAGGCTTTTCAGAGAGATTAGAGACAAAGCCAGATAATCCAGAACGTGGCCTTTCTCTTTTGAGACAAAGGTAATGTATGTACAGTCATTTGTTTAAACTCTTAGCACCTTACACTTAAAATCTGTACAAATTACTGCTTGTGAAAATAAGCTGCTCGTTTCTTTCTGAAGGGTGAATTCAAACCATCAGAAGCAGCTGTGGTTCCCCCTTCCTGAATGCTGTGATACAGGAGACATCCCACAACAGGTTGTGGTAACCTTAACGGCTGGTTGCATACATTCAGCTATGTTCATACCGGGCTCATTAGGAAAGGGGAAGTTTTTAGTATTTAAACTGGCACTGGAGTGGAGGCTCACTGCTGGGAATTAAGTTTTACAGGGACTGATGTTCCATTTCTTTATTTGACCTCCATAAACCAAATCTCAGCTCTGGGTGTAGAGGCCATAAAACACCCATCCCCCTGCAGTGCTGTCGTTTTTGTCCACAGCTGTAGGACTGAGCTGATTTCAAATAGCTCTAGGTCCAGAACATTTGTTTCAAAGGAAAGTTTAATTTTATGATAAATTCAGAAGTTGCTGGCTTATTTTCAAAAGCAGTATGATTTCACACCAAAGATCAGACCACGGGGACAGATGTCCGCTTTAATATGCGGAGTGCCAGTCTTCATTGAAGAGAAAAACAACGCGGCAATGGACATTTTTTGACTTGGTATGACTGAGACTGCATCACAGAAATACCATTCATTTGCAATTCTGCTACTGAATTTACTGTTTTAACTGTGCTCGCAACAATTTTTGTATTCTAACTTCTAATAAATGCTCAAAATAACCTTTCTGCGTTACAGACATTTCATTTCTTGAAAGGTGCTTACATCAGCATAGGTAGGATCAAGACAGCATCTGTGGTGATAACTTAAGCTGGGAAGATGAACAGCAGGACTCAAACTGCCTCATGGTCACTGCCCTGTGCAGCTCAGGATTGTCTTGTGTGCCTGAAGTGTCACGTGGCACAGCTCTTTGCTTTATAAAAGCCAGCTTTTGTGCTTTTTTTTTTTTTTTTTTTGAGATTGCATTTATTGTAAACAGTATTACTGTGGCTCTACCAAGGCAGCTTGGAAGAATATTTTTAGTACAGGAAATATTTGAGATCCATATGATTTAAGTTCATTGTTCCCCAAGTCATCCCCCATGACTAAAGTTTTTTGCCTTTTTTTTTTTTTTTTTTTTTTTTTTGAGCAAGCACTCAGTGCTTGATAGCACTATTACAAAGATATATTTCAGCTTTAACACTTCCGAGCAGGAAAGAAGCATTTGGCATCTCAAAGTATGCTTCACAGGTCAATAGTGAAGGACAAAACCATGCACGCAAGCTTCTCAGTCCCCAAGCTTACGCTACAAGTAGTACACGGTGTACTCATATCCACTTTCCAATCGGTGTGTTCATACATCATAAGAAGTGTCACATACACAGAAACCAAATCCCATATCCTCCCCAGCCAAAAAGGTAGCCTGAAGAATCAATCTCACATCACAAGTCTGAAAAGCTGGCATTTTTCTCCAGTGGTATCACATGTGCTTTCGATTTCAGTAAGTGCACAGACACGAGCTGAAAACAGTGTTCAGCACTGTCTGGGCAGGCATCCTCACAAGGTAGCTGCCCAAGAGGTATCTGCAAACACACAAACAGTGAAGGGAACATGTTTAAACTTAAACTGAAATACCTGAATGCTGAAAGGCTCCCTTTGGTTTCCTAGAAACTATCATTTTACCCTCTTCAAAGAAAGGCTTTACAGTGCAACACAGGGCAGTTAAACTGAGAAGAGCTCTCATGGTCGCAGTCCCAGCCTGCTTTGAATATTGTGTTCCCCAAACTCTTTGTCAGTGGAGAGCTATTGCTTTTCTTGTCATGGGAATAAATCCCAGCAGGGCTGAGCAACGCTGACCTTGCCCCTTCCTTAAAATCAAGGGTCACCTTGTCTTATCGTAGGACTGCGCCTGTCACAGTAAGAAAAGGGTTGAATACAAATCACTGAGAAAATAACGCAGTTATTTTCACATCTGCCATAAGCATCACCATGAAACTACTGCAATAAAGACAATTTATGTTAAAGCAGCTTGTTCCAAAGTGCTGCAAACAGGGTGACTGAAGAAGCTGCATATGATGGGGGGGGGTTATGACACCTTGAGAGGAAGTCCATCTCCAATATTCATCGTTACTCCCATAAAGCCAAAATGTCGATCTATCTTTAAACACACACTCAGTTTGCACCGCATTTGGTTTTCAAGTTGTAAATATAGAAAAATGCAGTCATTTGCCACCCATTATGGATAGTAGGTAGGGGAAGGAGGAATTAGTAACAATTTAGAAATCTAGGTTTGCTTCTCAGGCTTTCCAAGCCTCTCTAGAAACTACTGAGAACATCACTACTGCCTCTGTTTTTCAGCTTGATGATCCTTCAGTTTTGGTTGGTGTCAGCAAACCAAACCCGAGGCCTACATAAGGGGCTGCTCCACGAAGGGCCAGCTTTCCAATGTCAGGCACTGCTACCCCAGAGGTTTCCCTTTGATGTTTTCATAGGAAAATGGTGATATGGTAAAACAAGAGAGAACACAGAACAGTGACACTAGAACAGCAGAGATGAGTTAGGTTGAGGTACAGAACACTTCACATCCCCACACCAGGGGCTCCGGCCTTCCTAAAGCTGCTGTTCCAGCTAGACCTTGCCTTGGCGTCTCCACTCCCTTCCCTCTCAAGCCTTCCCTGCACCTAGCTGTGGCCTCTGGAAGCTTTCCACGTCTGCAAGACAGCTGAATGCCAGCCATGCAAGTGTCCTGTAAAGGCTGAGGAAACCAAGAGACGACTGCATGGCAGTGGGCTGAGCAGTAAGTCGTGTGCCACTGCAGAACTGCCACCGAGGCGGTGAGCTCACTTCTGAACTCACCTGGATGCCATTAGTTTAGTCAGGAATTAAGCTTAGCAAGACAAATTTTGGATTTAGTTCATTGTAGCTCCTTGCTAGGCCTGCTGGCAACCCTCCCATCTGCAGCCTGAGCTGGTTAGGCACAGCATTAGCTAGGCACAGCGTGTCTCCAAGGTCAAGAGGTTCCCATCCTTGCCCTCTGCTGGGTGCTGTGGATAAAGCAATAAAATTGCTTTCACAGAAATAACAGACTGAATATTACTGTGAATTTTAAAAGAGTTGTTTTTTTTTGTTGTTTTTTTTTTTTTTTCCCCTCCTTCAGGCATTGTGCTCAGAAGCTAAACAAAAACTAACTCAGAGGAAAGCAAAAACAGTTTGTAAAGAAATCTGATGACTAAACAACTTCTGTTACTTCATATCACATCTTTCATACATACCTTAGCCAGCAGCTTCTCACCTACCATCTAAGTGAGCTCACAAAACCAAACAAAAAAGGAACAACAACAGTAACAAAGTAAATAAATAAAAACAGAGGCAAGATTAATTTCAGCAACACCCACGAAAGACTCAGAAAAACATAGTTGTATTGACTCACACTTTTATTGACTCAGAATCAACAATTTTCCCTGGCAAAGACATTGCTCTGCAAGAACAAACTCCAGTCTTGTACTTTCTTTCATACCAAAGTGTGCTTCTTCAGATTTAAGAGTAGGGTTTTTATGGCCATTCCTGAAATTGTGTATTTAATCCTAATCATATCAAACTCTAAGGCCCCACTCAGACACATCAGATAAAGCACGAGACAGCAAGCAGTCTCTGGTAACAGATCAGATTTTACACACAGTGACAAGCTCAGTATCACTCTGAAACAAGCTTGCACATGTACTGGCAAACATTATAAATCTTGTAAGAGTGGCCAGGCAGCTTCAGTATGTTGCATTTGCATGGTACTTGTTTGGATGAGGATTACATGCTTAATAAAAAGTAACAAAAAAATCATAAGAAGACAGCTGCCTAGAAAGACTCCAACAACAGTAGCACAGAGGTCTGCTCCCAAGAATACAGGAACCCTTCTAGCAAGAATATCTTTCACATTGTTGAAGGAACCATTGTTTGGCAGGGGAGTAATACCAAGGAGATGGCACAACAAGGGGTACAAATCTGTAGAATTCATGGCTTCTCTGGTGACATTCTTTCTGAAAGCAGGCCCGACTGCCAAAAAAATTGGGTGCATTTCTTGTAAGTTGTTGTCATATCCATGATTACCAACTAGAAATAAAAGAGAGAAAGAGAGATAAAGGTCAATATTCCAACGTTGCAAAGCAAGCATTGAACCTGTTCCCAGAACTAGCATAATGCAGGAAAGGAACAGCCTCATTTATTCTTGCAGAGGTTTAATAGGAAAAAAATTGGTCAACAGCACAAATATCCCCTAGTAAATATCAGGTCATAGAAACATACACAGGAGACACCTTAAAAACAACTTAAGAGCTCATTGAAATAAATAAATAAGTAAATAAAATTCACATGGCAGTAACTCTACTTTAAATGGCATCCTACACCCAACTATCCTCAATTTCAGTCAAGGAAAAACGCTCACTTTGCAACTGGACCAGTTCTCTTAGAAAAGGCTACGTAGCTCAGTACTCCCAAATAAACAGCACACGACAGAACACTATTCATCCTCAATGAGTTCCGTTACATCCTCCTTCATTTTCTGAGAAAGAGCTCATCAGCTTGCTAGATCTCACAGGGAGACCTCAAGTTATGTGGTCACTAAACCACGTGAATGGTCTTATCTCATTAGGTTTAACTTTTTGAAAGACTAAGTCCAGTTCCCTCTCCCTGAACAGCAGTGTACTTCCTACCTCATCAGGGAAAATATATATTTATCTTTACAAGTTAAAAACGTAATTATATAACTATATAAATCATATATACTTAGTTTTCCCTCCCAGTCTTAAAAAAAAAAAAAAAAAAAAACATTGGTTGAGGTTGGGAGAGAAAGTACTATGTGAAGCTTCTGACTAGGAAGATAACACTGCAAAGACAGAATACTTACATGGAAAACCATCGGACTTATTGAATACGATCTCCCATCCTTTATCAGCCACAGCTAAGATTGGCTGAATTTTATGGTTGTGCTTGTAATGAAATCTATCTGGAATCTGCTCCTTTTTATAAACAGTCATGTTGGGATGAGCGTTGGCCAGAGCTTCATATACTTCATCCAGTTTGCCTTCAAACAAACAAAAAAAAAAAAACACCAAAAGATAAAACTATGGATATGTTTACTAAAACCATCACTACTTTAAACACAATTGTCAGGAGAAAGAAAAAAGGACAAAATGCACTTCCCCAAAGGGTACTGTTAGTTCCCTGTCTTTAAAGTGCCAAACAGAGGTGCCACATTGTTTCTTAAATTGCTTATTTCTGTTTTCTGAACTTTGCTTTCCAGTAAAAGTCAGTGAGCATGCAGGGTGCAGCAGGACAAGCTGGGATGCCAGCACAAAGAAGGGAGAAACCAAGACACTGCCAGAACATAAAAACAAGTCCAGGAAGTCTGTATGTTTGAGCAAGCTTCTCCCCCTTCTGCCTCCTAACACTTAGACTTAGATTTGTGCTGAGGATTGCGCAGTGGTTTTAGTAAAAAGCCTGTTGTATACCACCACAGAACCTCAGCTGTGTGCTATTTAAGCACCTTGAGCTACACCCATGCACAATCCACACCTCTGAGTCCACAGCTGCTCTCTGCAGGCCAGCTGCAGTGCTTCAAGGTCTGAAGCAGGGCTGTGAGACATCCACCTCGTCCCTGTGACCCACACAGATGTTTTCAGCAGCTAAGTGGGATTTAGGCCCACCCTGCCACTTTGACCTACCATTTCTAGCTAGTCCTGCCTTCAGACCCAGCTGTGGGCCCTGTAAACTGAAAATAGTTTAATATATAAGGTTTCTTATCTCAAACTGGCATAAAATGAGAATCATCAAACTTAAGAACTGCAATAAAGGCCAAAGAGAGGCAGCATAACTTCTGATATAACAGACACTAGCTACAGCAATGAGGAAAGGACTCCATATTCACACCTCCAGGACTACATCACTAACAAAATTTACCTATGTCAGTCCTCTGTATGAAGTAATAGGGAGGAGAAGTCCCAAATATAAGAAACTGTGTTATTACACTAATTTAGTTATTTGAATTAATATATTTATATTTGATGCAAGAAAAAGCCAGCACCACCAGCTGTACTACAAGTACCACCTTCAAGTAGTTAACACAGCACAGAACAACACACTGGAATGGTTAAATGGTTGTTTTAATTCATTTCCCTGGGGAAAAAGTATGCAGCCAGACAGTTACAGTAGCAGAAATCTCTGTGTTTTTAAGCATTCAAAATTTTTCTGAATGTCTTGCTATGCTTTATCATTCCCTTAGTTTAAGCAAGGCAAAAGAAATAACTGCATTGAAAAAAAAAATCAGACCTATGTACTTAAGTATATTTCACAGTTAAAGTGAGAATGAATTGTACTGTTTTACAACAAAATCAGTTAGTAAAGCAGAAAGTAGTAATTTGAGCTGTGCTAAAAACTAATTCTTGCTCACTGTTAGTGTAGAATAGATAGCTGAACCTCTGGGCAAGAAACAAATCCAGCTAATTTCTGAAATCTATTGAAATGGCTTGTTTTGTTTGTTTGTTTGTTTGTTTTTTATACACTATTCTGTCATCTAATTGTTGCTTAAAGAGACTTTTTTTGTTGTTGTTGTTCTAAAAAAGGGCATTTTACTGGATAGGAGAATCAGGTTACGCAGCTTCAAGTTCTCATTTACCACATTAGGGGTGCTTCAGCACTAACCTTTACTTTTACAATAGCTCCTTTATTTGGTAATGAGAACATCCTGGTCAGCACTACCACGTCTGTGTCCACTAGGATGGAGTTCTCAAACTTTGCTCTTCTGTCACGACCGAGAGAAACAGCGCCCAGCTATGAGCACACGAGTGTACTCAGGCTGCAAATGAATCTCGTTTTGCAAACTCCCACACTGACCTTTTAGTCTGCATTAGTAAAGGAGTATTATTCAAACTAAAAATGACAGCAGGCACTTGTTTACACATCGAAAGGTCACATAAGTTCACAAAGTACTCTCCCTGCTGGTGTATTAAATACTGCATGCTGTCCATTAGTGATGCAAATGTTACACAAATCTCAAAACACACCTTTTCAGAAGGCCATCCTATAACTCAACTTCCAAATTACTGACCCTGCCTATGTGAAAAATGCTCTTCTCCAGGCTAATGCGTTAGCCCCACATAGTAATAGCTTTTGATCATAGAATAATGCAGGTTGGGAAAGACCTCTGAATCATCTAGTCTGAGCTCTAACCTAGTGCTAAAGTCCGCCACTAAACCATGATACTAAGCTTTACATCTACACATTTCTTGAAGGCTTCCAGGGATGGTGACTCAACCACTGCCCTGGGCAGCCTGTTCCAGTGCTGCACAACCCTTTCAGTAAAGAAATTTCTCCTAATATTCAACCTAAACCTCCCCTGGTGCACCTTGAGGCCATTTCCCTTTGTCTTATCACTTGGAATCAAAATAAAGAGCAGCACCTCTACATCAGCAAGATTAAACAGACAACTGGCACTTCAGCAACCCTTCAATGACTGCAGCCAGGCTTCTGGTTTTGATTCCAGCAGTGCTCTTGTTCAACATTATCAGAGTAAAAATGATATGAACGTACCTGTCTCTTCAGCATGACAAAAGGAAAAAAATAAAAAAAGTGAACTGCAATAGCTTTTAAGTATCAATCAAATAGCTAACACAGGCTTTCTATTGATTGAAGGTGCCCATCTGGTCTCAGTTTACTGTGTGAGTTATAAATCTAGTTCTTCATCCATGGCTTCAGCATCTTGATGAAAGGGAAGACACATAACACTCAGTAGCTATCCATCCGGAATGCCATTCATCCCTGATAACACCATGAGATCATCTTACTTCTCGTAAGACCTAAAGGATATGTGGCAGTATTACGCAGAGACAGATTTGCTCACTTTCCATTTTAGAAAGTTAATCCAGGCTTTTGACAGAGCTGTCAAAAATAACAATGCTGCAAATACTTCTTGTTCAAGGGTGATGCCCTATCAGCAGCAGTGCTGCTACTACCACTGCAGTTAAGTAAAAAGCCTGTAAAGTTCTAACGCTCAATATTTCCTTCTGAGAATGTCAGTGCTACAGCTCCTACCTTCTTTTGGCAAAATAGCTACTGCAGGAGAGTGGTCAATGACTTGATAGAGCTCTCTGTTCACATATTGATCAAGCTCAATGAGCCGCTCTGAGGATGACTGTGACATCCCATGGTCACTCGTGATGATGACATTTATTACATTCCACAGCTTCGCTTTCTTCAGTTCATACATCAGGTATCCCAGCTTCTTGTCAATATCACTAATTATTGGCCCCATAAGTGGATTTTCTGGGCCCAGAACATGGCCCATCTCATCAGGTTGTTCCCAGTAGAGCAGACCAAAATTTATGGGTTCTTCCAATTTAAACCAGTCAATAAACCTAGCAACTCTGTCTTCAAATGAAACAGATTCATTGTAGGGCATGTAATAAGTCGGAAGGACTCCATGTATTTTCACATCCGTTCCAGGCCACATAGCTGCTCCAGTTTTATGTCCTTCCATCTGGTTTGTTACCCATATCGGGCTGGCTTCTTCCCAGAACTTGGAATTATAGATCCCACTTTCCCGAATGGAGCTATGGATATCCATGTTGTTCAGAGAGAAAGTTTCATTCAGAATAGGGTCATACATCTCATTAGCAACTATACCATGGCTTTCTGCATAGAGACCTGTCACCATTGTATAGTGATTAGGATATGTTTTCGTTATGAACACGTTAGTGAGCTGCTTAACGTGAACACCATTCTCCATGGCATAATGAAAATTGGGAGTTGAGACTTTATAGATGTAGTCCCATCGAAATCCATCAAAAGATACCAACAACACCTTGCGCTGGTCTGGCTGGAGAGAGACAGCACTTGGAAGAAATAGTAAGCAAGTCACCAGGACTCTCCAACAGCAGTTCAGGGCTATGCTGGAAGGTGTTCTACCCCTCTTCTGAGGCAACATGGCACCTGCTGGGTAAAGACAGAAGGTTTATTTGCACTATAATTTGCTGAATGAAATACAATTCACAAAGAAACTTCCTTACGTAACACCACCACCCATCTTCTTCCTTTCTTCCTCACGCTCCCAATATACCAGAACTCCCACTCTTACCACTTGACAATTCTAAAGTATTTTCCGTATCCAAAGAAACTGTCCTATGAGAAAGCTTCTGCTTGAAAAAGTTCAAGATGTAAACAGGGGCAGTTCTCAGCTTGGGAATACCAAAGTCTGTTTCCACCAGAACTTTATGACCCTCATATAAAACCTTGGGGCACTTCTCCTGCAAAAATGGCAGCAGGCACGCTAGCATCACCTGGTATCACGGCAGGCAGGAGCAGTACATGCTGACTGCACAGCTCCCATCAGGGAGGATGGGATCCCAGCTAGAAGCCACTGCAGGTTCTCTGCCCCAACACCCTGTATGGGATTGCCAAGTGTGCATGGTACAATTTATAACAGGGAAGCGAGCAAGCAAGCTTTGCATTTCAGATACAACAGTATAGCAAAAAAAGGATTTTGCGGCTTAAAAGGTGTCAGATCTGTTTGTTAGACAAGGAAATAGCATGAACATCATATTCCCAACATTTCATCTCATCTCTAACCTGATCATAGCTTCCCTGTGTAACCAGGCTCTTCATGATCAACTAGTTTGGATGCTTCCTATCCTACTGCAGGTAGCAGTACAGATAGCTTTACAAACAAGAATCTACACAAGTCATACAAGTCAGGGTGCAGTTTAAGTTCTTACAATTAACCACTTCAGTCTCCAAATAGATTGGGAAGAAGTGGTTGAAACACCCAGTAATATTTTAGATGGCTCACAACTGTACTACATCTTTCAAGCATGCATAAATCCCATCATTCAACCGTTCCAGTCAAACATCACTGCTAGATGAGGGCAAAAGCAGCAAGAAAAGCACGGCAAGTAACAAGACCAGTGATGCAAATTCTCTGGGGGTACAATGATCATGAGACTCCATACCCTAAAGCATTTGCTCCCTAGATAGATATGCAGCACTAATTCCTATCGTGTGAGTCAAGGATATTGACTAATCTTACCTACGATAGGCATTTGTTATCTAAATAGCATGACATAATCCAATGCATAATTTCCTATCAATTAGATTGATCTCCACCTAATTGACCTATAATTTCACACTGATGGAAAGTGCGTTCCCTACTTCTTGCTCAGCAGTATCATTTAACCACAAGACCAGATATTGTTCCATCTAATCCTGCACATGAACTGTACTTACACCACACACTGTTCCCTTGAATTTCCCATTTGTAATCCTTTGAACCAGTTACTACTGAAATTCAGCTAGAAATCGGTGACTATGCCACCCAGTACACCAGTGTGCTACCCAATAAATCTGCATGAATATTCGGGGCACATACATATCCTGGTTAAAATGAAAAGCTACAGCATAACAAGCACCTCAATATTACAACAAAGATGGAAAAGTGTTTGTCATTTTGGTAGGACACAAGATATACTCCATTGGCTCTCATTTCCCAAGCTAAATCTCTCTGCCCCCCCCCCCCCCCCCCCCATGCATGCCCTGACTGGCATGTCTCCCAAAATCCTAGCCTGGAGCCCTGCTAAGAACAAGCTGACCCTTCAGAGGCATATCCCTGCTGCTGGCCCGCACCCTAGACACGAAGGCAACAGAATCACAGAATCACAGAACCATAGAATCGTAAAGGTTGGAAAAGCTCTCCAAGATACCTGGTCCAACCGTCCCCCTACCACCAATGTCACCACTGAGCCATGTCCCCAAGCACCACATCCAACCTCTCCTTGAACACCCCCAGGGACGGTGACTCCACCACCTCCCTGGGCAACTCGTCCCAGTGCCTGACTGCTCTTTCTGAGCAGAAATGTCTCCTCATTTCCAACCTGAACCTCCCCTGGCACAACTTGAGGCCATTCCCTCTGGTCCTATCACTAGTTACTGTGAAAAGAGGCCGAACCCCAGCTCCCCACCCCTTCCTTTCAGGCAGTTGCACAGAGCAATAAGGTCTGTCCTGAGCGTCCTCTTCTCCAGATCAAACATCCCCAGTGCCCACAGCCACTCCTCACAGGACTTGTGCTCCAGGCCCTTCACCAGCTTCGTAGCCCTGCTCTGGACATGCTCCAGCACCTCCATGTCCTTCTAGTACTGAGGGGCCCAAAGCTGAACGCAGCACTCGAGGTGCAGCCTCACCAGAGCTGAGTACAGGGGGACAATCACCTCCCTGGCCCTGCTGGCTGCACTATTTCTGATGTAACCCAGGATGCTGACGGCCTTCTTGGCCACCTGGGCACACTGCCAGCTCATGTTCAGAGGAGCATCGATCAGCACCCCCAGGTCCTTTTCCTCTGCACAGCTTTCCAGACATTTTGCCCCAAGCCTGTACTGCTGCATGGGGTTGTTCCGGCTGAAGTGCAGGACCCGGCAGGTAGCCATGGTGAACCTCATCCCTTTGGCCTCTGCAAGACAGAACTGCCCAGGCCCACTCCCTGCAGGACTTCTTTCAGCTCCAAGAGGATGGGAGGCACATGCTTGGGGCCCATTCACCCTCACCTCCCCCTGCCCTATGAAGCCTATGGGACGGCTGAGCTGCAGGCCCCCATTCTAGGGAAGGACAGGCACAAACTGAATCCCTCCCAAGAGAAATTGGGGCCACACTTCCGAGCTTTCCACTTCAAGGTGCCAGCACCCTGGGGAGCGCAGGCCCCTTGGGGCTGCTGGGCCTGGAGCAGAGGAGGCTCCGGGGGAGCTCCCCCATGGCCGTCAGTACCCGCAGGGAGGTGCGGAGAGGCCGGAGCCGGGCTCTGCTCAGCGGTGCCCAGGGCCAGGCCCAGAGGCCCCGGGCCCAGCCTGGAGCCCCGGCGGCTCCCCCTGCCCCTCAGGCAGCACTGCTGGGCCCAGGGGTGCCGGAGCCCTGGCACAGGCTGCCCCGAGAGGGGCCAGGGGCTGCTCCTGGGAGAGATCCCCGAGCCTAGGGCCGTGGGGCTGGGCACCCTGCTGGGGCAGTGGGGGACAGGGGCACCCAGGGGTGCTCCCAGTCTCAGCCATGCCCAGATACAAGCTCACAGCATGCTGGCACTACTGCAGGGGATGGGGCAGTGGCCCTGTGGCCTTGCGAAGATGGCAGAGCAGGGAGCACCCTGTCATTCACCATTGTGTGTGCAAATTAGCACCCTCACCCCTTGACTCCCTCTTTTCCCCCCTCTCTGAAGATGCCTGCTGTGCCAGGCCATACACAAGGCAGTGGCAGCTTTGCCCAGCCACGCTGTGCTGCTGTGTCCTCATGTCTTGTTTTTCTCCACCTTTCAGAGCCCAGACTTCTGTAATGCCAGCACAGAGCCAAAGGCAGGGAAACTGTGGGTTACGGTGCCAGAACGTCCCATGGCATTACTTTCAGTAAACAAGGGCCCAGCCCAGGCTAGCTGTACTTTAAACCGACTGTAAATGCAAGGAGCAAATTTGCTTTCATTTTCTGTGTGTCTGCAAGTGCTTCTTCAGTTAGGAAAAAAAAATAAATAAGGTTTTTAATCCAGGTGTTTTCTGCCTTTTTTCTCCTCTTATGTTCTGAGCTCCAAATTTTCTGGTTTTGTTCAAGCATATAGATACTTTTTTTTCCATGCTGTTGTGATGTTCAAGACCCATAAACCATGCACTGGGATGTAGAGGAACACAAGTTTATTCTCTTAATCTCTCTAGAAACTGAACTGAAGGGGTTTCCCATCTTTACTATTTGAGGATCTGTGCTATGGAGAGGTTCAAACCCCACACCTTGCATATCTGCACGTAGATCTCATCCTGCTTCATGGCAGGATGTGGTTTCACAGCAGGTGTAGGAAACTATTATACTTTTCACTCATGCATAGGAACATTCTACTTCTTTATACTTTATACTTACTTTTTTATACTTTTACACTTTATAGCTGGCACTGCTTAATTTATATGCCTTTCTACTGCAAACAAGCATCAGATTGCAAAGAAGACACTGTTGTGGTGGGTTGGTTAGGAGTCTTTTTTTTTTTTTTGACTAGTCCACACAGGATGAACTTGCTCTTTTTTTGTTGGTGGTAAACCTACTGGAAGCTTCTGATCTCCAATGCTACGTTATTAATGCTATGTTATTAATAACGTGGCAGAAAAGGTTTGCATACAAGGCTGTAATCCGGGTAAGCTTCTGGCTTTCTCCCCTCCTTTTTGTGTAAAGTTAGGGCTTGGCTTCATGAATGTGCGATGGTGGAGCTGGCCAGGCTCATGCTGTAAGTGGCTTGCTCAAGCCTGGGGCAGTGGCAATGTCTGGTCATTGTGCCTATACATTTTAAACAAGGCTGATACCTTTCTCCACGGAGAGCCAGCTCTAGGAATTATAGGAAGGGACAAGGATCTTTTGTTTTCTAAATATCTTTTTTTTTTTTTTTAATTCCTCACTGCTGTTGTTTTGATAAAGATACGACAGAGACTAGTAGAAAACTGTAAATACTGCTGCTTGCATTGGTAAGAGCTGTATGGGTACAGCTTTTTGTACATGGTCAACTGAACTAGACCCTACCTGTTGCATGAAGCTCAGCATCCAATTCCTGGCAGCGATCTGACACCAGAGGCTTCAGAGAAAGGAGTAAAAAGGAAAAAGACATTATGAATTTGCACCTGTGTGTACCATGTGTATTGAAATCTCATTGCAATGTCTCCCATCGTTGCTCTGCTTAAGTAGGAAAAATTGTACTCACATTCACGGTTAGTTCAACTTGAATTTTGTCCTTCCATCACTTGGATCAAGGGGGCTGGGACGCTGCAGTAGTGACCTGCACGCTTTGGCAGTGGCTGGAAATACTTGCTAAAGGTACAGGTGTATGGGGATTTAAGGTGTTGTTCTGAATGCCTGGAAATAGTAGTACTTGTCTTGGGTGCAAGAAATAAATCATCCGCTTAATACTTACAAAATGCAAATAAAGCATAGACAACGAGTCTGCTAATTCCACCAAAATGTTTAATACCATAATAGATTTTCACTGAAGTACAGAGCTAATGTGAATATTTGTACAAAATATGTGGTTAAAAATAGTATTGATTTATAATATATACAGATATGTCACATCTGTGTCAGAAATGCAGACACTTGAATGAGAACATGATTAATGTTTTTAGGTCTACAACAACATACATGAAATATTTCTGCAGCTACCCACAGTAGGACAAGTTGCCAAGTCGACACTTAAGGACCCATCCGTCATTACAGATGACGTTCCTTTCAAAAGTTTCTGAACAAAAACTCTGCTCCAAAATGGATTCAGAACATTCACCTCCATTAACTGAACAGTGAAGAGAACACATCTCTCTGACACTAATGTGGACACAACTTTCTCGTACAAGATTAATGATCAGTTACAATGATTTGTTAAAACAAGGCTGCTGTTCTGGTGTGTGATAATAGAGAATTTTAATCCTGCTTGGTGGATACTCTTACCGAGGTGAGTGAGGAAGCCCCTGGCTCAGGGACAGCAATGGGCCCTTCTTAATACAGCTCTCAATTAGATGGATTTAAATCCTGAAGTCTGTCCTAAGGTCCTGAATGCCTTCATTTTCCATTAATTTTGAGGCTGCTCAGCACTTTTCATCCTTACTCTAGCAAGAATCTCACCTACAAACGTCCCAGATTCTAGGATTTGCAGCCACTGCACCAGTGCCCAATCCTGCATTAAAAGGATCCACAGGTGACTCATACTGCAGCCCTAGAAGCTTTGTGTAGCAACTAACAAGTTGACAAAAGGGGGAAGAGATGAATTAAGGTGTTTTTTTTGATTGTTTGTTGTTGTTTTTTAAATGCTTTCTGAGCATCTCTGCAGTGAAGACAGTTCGGGGCTCTTGCCTTTGCACGAGGACTGCTGCCTCTATTCTGCCTCCAACAGTGCAAGCTCCCCTCCCCTCCAAGCCAAATACACCTGACATGTCAAAAGGCATGTGGGAAAGAGCCTTTACAACACTTTCCTCCCTTGTAATTTTACCCCTGAATGCAGCAGTCTAAATGTATTTAAAAATAGAGCACAGCTCACTGTAGAAGTCTTTCCTTTTCAGAGGAGCCTAGAATAATGAAAACTGCTGAACTTCCTCCCAGATGTGCTAGAACAAGAAAAGCCACATCTTGGTTTGGTTTGGATCTTTTTTCTAACACAATTAGTTATTCAAGAGAGTTGCATGAGGATGAGTGTGAGGGTCTGTCTGGGACTTCAATCCATACCTGGTTTTGCTTTGTGGTACAACAGAACTAAATGTGATTTCTTGGGCAGAGGGGAATTGAGGAATTGCAGAGGTCTTAAATTCATACTAATTAATACACGATAAAAGGCAAAAAGTGGCTAAATGCTTCAGTGTTAAAATGTACACATTGAAGGAGCAAAAGAAAATCCAGTAAAGCTTGCTAAGAGGGGCAATCTAAAAGCACTCTGACTTTGATCAGGGTATCTGTAATAGCTTTCTTGTCTCCCCTCATCCACAACACCTGCCTCCAGTCCCCCAGATCCATGACAGATACTGCCTTCCCTTCAAGCAAGCTGTTTCAGTAAGCCTATTTGTAGCTATACCTACAGATTTCATCGCTGGGCAGTAAAATAATGAAGGACTCGACCCCTGTGAGCTGCTGAATCCATTTGAAAAAGCTGGGCTGCTCATAAGGAGGTGAGCTGGTAACTACAGACCCCATTACAGAGCTGTAGTGTGGACTCCAGACCTTCAACACATTCTGAACTCACCCCTTCTCTTGCTTTGACTCTAACTTTAGAACAACAATAAAATAAAATAAATGGTTGTACAAGGAACAGCAATAGCCACACTATCAGTAATGAAGTCTACAGAGCTTCAGCTGTCAAGCAGTCAAGGCATGAGCCATGCCTGCTGCAGCTGGGAGAAATACCTCCAGCTCCCATTGTTCGGTGTCATGCAGGATTGGGTTGCACCTTATCACTTGCATGCCCAAATGCCCGGCAGAAATAAATATTGCCTATCTGTGGGTACAAATTAAGTGCGTACCCAAGCCATACGCATATAGCCATGATTTCCTCGAAGCTCAGTTTGAGATCCTTTTGGCCACACAGCTCCCTACTGCTTACAGCTGAAGCCTCAAAATTTATTTCCAGGTGTCGTGTCCAGTGCCATGCAAGATGGAGAAGCCACAATCAGCACGGAGGCAATGCAAGATTTCAACTCCATCCGATACAGAACCTTACAGTGGTTGGGGAAAACTCATCTGTCACTCAAACGTGAAGAATAATCAGGCCTTCTACAGTGCCTTTTATCTCTAAAGGACTCCATAAAGAGATGGCTATTAACACTTGTTCTAATCAAAACACATATTAAGGCCTGTCTTTTCAAAAGGAATCAGTGAGCTTAGAGCTTACATTTCCAACGAGATGTCTTAAAGAAATCTAATTTTCAGAATCATGAATAATGATCCCTCAAGAAACTGGGTCTTTTCAGCTGGACACCCAGATTTTTTATTTAACTTTATTTTTATATAACTAAGTGGAGGTTGTCATAAGATCGAATAGAAGGACTTCATGAGACAGTTACTCATCAGACTCATCTCCTGCATTCCGATAATTTAGAAGAACCAGTACAAATTAACACAAGACACTACAAAGAGTCGTTTCCAATTTTTGTAATGATTAATGCCAATAGAACTTTTCCCGCAGCCTCGGCATTAGTTGGATGCCATGTTCCTTAGTCAAAAACTGATGCCCACTGTATTTATCATTCTTTAGCACAGAAAGAGCACCTTTGTCTGCCAGAGATGTGCTTTCTCACCCGGGACCATGCTATAGTCTTTGTTTGCATACACCCAGCCAAACCCAGAGCAAACCAGCGCAAGTTCATACCACTCAGTGAAACTGCAGCAGTTTAAAATGGAATTGGCATATCCTGACAATCACTGGGTTATTTTGTCCACATTTTTTTTAATTTCAACTGAAACAGAGTTTGACCTCTGTCAAACATTTCAGCATTTTCAGTTCTACCAGTTAAGAGAGCACTGGCATGTATCACCGCAGTCGGTTTAACGTGGTTTACATCTTTTAGGTGCAGCTTTTCAAAATGCCAGCACAAACAGAACACAAAAATACTGTTGCCACATGTATTTTTGAAACTAAGCTCTGAATTACACAGGTGTAAAAGTGGTTAATTAGCCAATAGCTTTTTAACACTCCTACAAAACATGACTAAATGGAATACTTTGATGGTATGTACATCGTAAGGGAAAAGCTAACGTAATTTGTCACAGTGCTCAGACGTACCACTGCAATCAGGTCTCGCAGGTCGGTTGTCACTTACTCTGTATAAAGAACAGTCTTTTTGCAGAAAGCTTTTTCGCTGCTGCTGAGTGTGGGGGGAAAAAGAACAGAATAAAAACAACCTCTCCCCCCTCCCCCAAGCCAATATAGAGCCAATAACTGTTAAAGAAATGGACTGCAATATATCTATTGGGCACATTTTTACAGTAAATATGCCTGTATTCTTGCTAAGGTTGAGGAAGGGATGCTCTTGCTGTGTTTTCTTGACGAAAACAAAGTGTAGGTGAGTCGTACAGCTGGGCTGGGAAGGGGAGCGTTGTATTAGCTTACAGTACAAAAATCAAGGCCACAGAAATTCCGTATCCTTCTGATCTGAAAATGAAAAAGCAGGTTCCAAACCACCCTTTCTCTGTGCATTTTAAACCTTTCCGTGCTGTTAGCTGCACTGAGGAAGTCATTAGTAATTCCTGCTTTCATTTCCAGCCAGCAGCAGCAGCCACCCAGCAGAGGGCCCCAGCACATCGCTGCCCAGGCTCGGGAAGGGCAAGAAAAGGGACGTCAGCTATGTCACCGTGCACAAACGGCAATGTAACAACACAGATTTCACTCCTATTTATATTGCTACAGGAGAGTACTTCAGCACTGTGGACACCCTAGGAAAAGTGCAAGTCACAGGGGCTGAGCTGGTGGATGCTACACTGAAGAAGATTCCCACCGAAGCGGGGACTGTGTCTGGGAACTACTGAATTAAATAGGACGTTTATTTTCCCAGGTGGTCAGCATTTTGTTGAAGGAAGCCTTTCATACCAGACAAGAAACAGCTGTTAGCAAAATACCAGGTTCTCTTAGGAGAGTCGCAAATGCTATTACTTTTAGGATAGGGCCATAATTTTTTTTCAGGTACTGTGGAATAATCTACGATGACCATATTTAACTATAACGGTGAGATATAAATGTTTATCATTATTACAACAGGCTTCTGCATTTTCAGGCTTGTAACTGCCTTTCTGTTTCTGTGCTTTAATCAATAAAGCTATGCTCTGCTCCCTCCTGGGTAGTGCTATGTAGTTTATGAAGAGCAGTCATTGAATCGGACCTGTTTTTAAATCTCTCTGTAAATGCACTTTGAGGAAAGAACATTTAAGACCCAGTGCTTTATTTGCAGTGTACTTTTACATCACTGGAGGCCAAATTCCACAGTTCAGAACCAATCTCTCCAAAGTCTGAGTAGATGGATATAAGGACTAGATTCAGCCCTGACATTTTGACATGTAAAAAATCAAAAGCATCAACTCTGGAGGTCTCTGGTCACTGACATCAGCTGAGGATGTGGCCAAGAATTTCTGTCATACAGCACATAGCAACAAAAAAATCTTAAGCATTTAGATCTTACTCTCCCTGTTGATATTAGTCTAAAACCAATGGTTCAGCGTTCTGTATGTTCTCAAACCAGACAGTGGTGTTACTTCCTGAAATACCGCAGGTGGCCTGTGAAGGTATCTTCGATAGGAACATCAAATTCGAGTCCTAGGACAATGGGTAACAAATGATTTATTTAAATCAACTCTAAGTGCATCACTGAAAAATAATCCAAGTGACACCTCTAAGGAGATACTTGAAGACAACTTTACTCAGATATCATGGAGATCCTAAAGCCCCATTTTGGTTCAGCCTCTGCTGTATTTAACGTGCTTCTATTAGTGTAACACACACACGACGATGTCCATAAAGTATTAACAGTTATCACGTTATAGATACACGCTAAGTAAAGCACTAACTTCAACAGGAATATTTCAGGGGGCTGTGGTGGTCAGAGAACAAACTATAGGAGAATGGAAAGTCCTTACTTCTCAAAATGTCCTCCCCATGCAGATCGAGAATGGCATCTCCTGTCTCCACTGATAAAGCAACACACTTTTCTTCTTGGAAGTACTGCAGAGCCAACAAATACCACGACAAGGGTGACTTGACCTTTCCGCAGCTTGTAGCCTCACTAAGGGGGGGAAGGAACCCTCCCTCACAACCCTGGTCATTAGGTTTTATGAGAAAAAACTTGATTACAGAGCCTAAGCTGTCTTTTCCGATCCTAGAGTGAGCTTCCAAGATTTATATGCTGATTTTAACTTGCAAAAGAGTTTAAACCTTGGAATCTCACTGTGCCATTTTACAGTCATTTTCAGGAGTACAGCTGCAGCTAATTAGCTTAAAAATCCCACTGTATCGTACACATATGCTCAATTTTCTGCAGTATTAATTTCAGTGGAACTACTCATGTGCATAAATTAAGCGCATGCTTAAGTATATGCAAAATCTGAGCTCAAATGTCTAGAAAATATGTTCTCAAAATGACAAATACACATGAAAAAAAAAATCATCATGGAAGGTCTACCAGACAGGGAATCCAGTGTCTGTCTGCTGTCGGCCATGACGAAAACACAGAACGATTTCTGTAACCCAGTATACATTGCAAGTGAAAGAAACATGCAGGACAGAGTGAAAAAAGGGGACTCGATTGCATGCAGTCTAATTTCAAGTGTGTAATTATGGTCCTGTTTTCTTTGGCCTAAAAAAAAAAAAAAAAAAGAAAAAAAAGAAAAAAAGAAAAAAGAAAAAAATAAGGAAAGGAAAAGAAAAACAAAAGAACACCAGCTAACCTCTCCTCACATCCACAAACCCAAACTGCATACAGCTCAAGAAGGGCTTTAAAGCACAGGAAACGGGGAGGGAAAGGGACTGATTGTTAGGGATGTACAAGTAATTACTACGTTTCAGGGCTATTCAACACACCACTAGGAAAGCATTCAGCCTTAATCATTACTGGAACTTACAGCTATGACAGAGAGCAATGAATCCCATCTTAAATGAGCAGACAGGTTCTCTTTCTTCCTCAAACTCAGAGAGAAGTACCACTCAGACCTTTATGGAAGATAAAATGACAATCCTCACCGATATTCTGTCTCCCTCCTTCTTACAGAGAGAGACTGAAAGACCCCAAACCCTTCAGCAAGCTGCTGCCTCTCCCCTCAGCCCAGAGAGCTTGGTGTCGCATCCCTACCACCATCAAGGACCGGTTCACTCTACAGCTGTTGGTGGAAGAGGGCGTTTTTCTGTTCCTAAAAAGGTTGCAAGGAAAATATTCCTTAAAAAAAAATACAGAGGGTCAAAAGGCCACCAAACTGCTGGATTAAAAACAATTCACGCCTTCTCCCCTTAAAAAAAAAAAGAGAGAGAAAAGGGGAAAAAAAAACAAACAAACTGAGGTCTGCTGGGGAACTGAGGGCAGAGAAGCAGGCTCCTTGATGAAGGGCAGCAGCAAGTATTCTGGGAGTTTCAATATCAAGCCTGATACCAGCCCAATCACCCACCGCGACTGATCTCTCTGGTGGTGGCGTTCCAGCATGCAAATTACAGCTGTGGAAAATCCTCAGACCAAACCCCTCCCTGCTTCAGCCTTGTTTTGTCCTTTCCAGCAAACCTATCAGTTGGTGTGTGATATGGTTACATATTACAAAGATCTTTTTTTTTTTTCCTAGCCCTTTTGTTACATAGGCTTGATTACTGAGAAGGGATTTCCATGAGCTTAATGTCCTGGTACTCAAAAGGCGATGGCTGCCTTTCAAAAATAAAAATAAAAATAATAATAATAAAGCAAACAGAAAACCACAAGAGCTGTGCTGGAGGAGAGAAGTGCTGCTTCTGCTGGAGAGGCTCAGTTAGATACAGGAGGTGGCAGACCAGGGCGCCGAGTTTGAATGATTTTTGGCTTTGGAGAATTCTTTGGGTCCTCGTCTTCTTCCATGTCGCTGTCGCAGACGTGCACTACCACGCTGGGAGTGGATTCTGTTCCTGCGTGCAGCTCGTATTTCTCTCCTGGAAGCAGAGAAAAAGAGATCAAAGGCCAACAGTTTGAGCAGCAGCACAGATCAGTGGCATTTTCAGATTCCTACAACCACACTAGGGCAGATGTTCGTGGGCTGCTCCTACCTGTAGGTGAGGGCAGGCATGGCTACATCATACCTACTATCACAGCATATGAAAACCAGTTAGAAGTGAAAAACCACTGGTGTTTGCACCGGTGTTTTGCACCAGTAGTAGTGGCCAATGGCACTAGAAAGAAATACATGGAGAGAAAAGAGAATGCTGAAGTTCCTGGGTGAGAAGAGGGACTAGGACTGAACCTCAAATATCTCCTCTGAAGCCGTATGTCAGACCCGCTGGGGTGGGGATACATTTTTTTCTTTCAGTCTAGAATGGCTCAGGTAACATCTGAAGGTCCACTGGATTTTGCAGCTTGCCAGCTCCAGACTGAAACATCAAAACTTGGTCCAATTGAGCTGCCTATAAAGGGATCTCCACAAATAAATATATATACAGATACCAGATGGATTTAGAGATTCAAGTCTCCTTACCTGGGGCTCTAACAAATTCTGTCTCTGTAGATAAGATTAGAGTACAGACTGTAAATGCTCACTAGCAGGCTAAGGGCTTAAACAGTAGAAATCAGATTTTCAAACTGCCTACATTCCTTCTTTTAGTCCGCACCCAGTACTCCAAGGAGGAAGCTGAGTATGTCTAAAATGGAAACGGGTGCAGTTACCTGAATAAATACACAAAGGAAAATGAGGATCAGACACGGGACTTTCAGGCCAGCATTCAGTCCATTGTGAGTTGTACTGGTTATTAAATGACAAGGAATTAAGACTGTAAAGGAAAAAGAAGTCCTAACATTTCTGACAGGATGCACGGCTCTTTCAGAAGGGACAGACCCTGACAACTAGAAACCACTCCAGGTAATGTGCTGTTATAAATTGGACTATTTGTCACCTCATCTCCCGGCCCCACAAGCTGGCTTCAAGTTCAGATAGGGGGACAATGACCACGCATCTTGGATTTTACCCGGCAGCTTGGATTTTTTTCATAAGGCTGCTCCAAAGCCACTGCATATTGCCTACAAAATAGTCTGTGATGAGGAAGGATTTTTCAGGCAGAGGAAGGTCCCAATATATCTAGCTGAGCTGTACTTGTGGTACAGCAGCTCCCAGTACCTGCATCGCAGGCAGGCACTGATTGTGTCAGATGCTGTACAGTAAAAGTGAGATGGCATTCCCTACCTCAAAGCACTTGGAGCTTGCTCAAGTTATTAATTTGGACTTGTATTTATCCCCAGCTTCATGGCAGAGCAATGCATGCTAGGAAGGTGCTGCAGGTTTGCATTAGCACACACCAACTGTCATCACTGCTATTTGTGCTGAAAAATCCTCAGTCCAAATAAGACTGGCTGGCTTGGGACTAGAGGACGAGAGAACACGTTGCATTTTTGCCTAAAAAATAGGAGGCAGCTCCTGAATAATAGCTATAAGTCAGGCATCTCGCTGTGCGAAATATTTTACCGCTGTGATACCATTAATGTTGACATTTAACTGCTCTATTTTTGGCAGCCTCTCCTCCGAATCCAAATTGAGCAAAGCATTGCAGGTCTCGCTGATAGGCTAAAATATAAAAAGAGAAATGGCTTGGTTGTGCTGCGATGAGAAATTATATGGTTTTTCTTTGCCTATTTTCCCCGCGGGCTTCAGCTAATTTCTCAGCGATGGGCTGACGTCAATGCTGCCAGCCGGGCTCCGAGGGCTCCATTGGTCACTGTCAGCTCCCAGCGGCTCCGCAGCGCTGCACACACACAAAAGCCGGGCCCTCTCCTTGTGCGGAGGAAATCAGATTCACCGCCCTCTTAAAAAGGGAACTGATCCCAGGTCAAATGCCACGTCCTTTCACCGCTCAGACCCTTCCCGCAAGAAGCCTCACCACTGCGAAAGAGCAGCGGGAATAAGCGCAGGCACAGGGGAAAATATTTGGATGCCTCCGGCACAAGCGGCTGCAACAGCAATTAATGTCACTTTGCGAATCAAAATGTGAGGCACTCCTAAATTGGGGTTTTAAGGCAGTTATTTCTGAGCATAAACGAGCTGCAGACTCGATTCTCTACTCACAGTTATTCATGCCTGCAGAACTGCGGCTCGAGATGCAGAAAACCTTTTTATGGCTGAGCTGAGAACAGGACGAGAGTAAGCAGGGGACGCTTACACAGCTGCACCTTGTTCCTAAACGTGCTGCTTGCAGGAAAATACTGAGGTAATAAATGCAAAAACACAAATCCAACCGGTACAGCTAGATTACTCCTTCCCTCATGAGTTACAGGGCTGTCTCAAGCTAAGGGCAGCAAGTTGGGTTAAGCAAGATGGTCAAGACTCAGCAACGTCTGCCTGATGCTCTCATCCAGCTGTCTCTCTGATGCTGTTTGTTATGCATCCTTCGCTTTCTCAGGCCCTACCTTGCCCCATCATTCCTGCTCCTCACACTTGCCTGGAGGACTCCTCAAAGGACTCTTGGGGAAGAGGTCTCGTTCTCCTCCCGCAGCATTTCAGCCACCTCCACCCCTTAATAAGTTGTTTAAATATTTGTGGAGCTGAGATAATAATGGAAACTCCAGTAAATTTATTCAGAAAAATATCTCCAAATTTATCAAATATGCTCCAACATCTAAACTCTGCCTCCAGGATATGATGCAGGGAAGAATTAAGCTGTGGCACATCTATCATATTAAGTTGCCTGAAAATATTCCTTAAAACCCCTTGAAAATTGCAGTGGTGTTCCTCTGTTTATTTGCTTGGCGTAAGAAAAAAAGAGGAGTTGGAAATTTCTCCCTTTGACATAGAGTCTACCTGTGTTCGTGGCACTTGGCACAACCTTCAGTGACCACGTGAAGCAAACCCGCAGCCTTGGGTAATGCACAAAGGATGACTACAAGCACAGCACAAAAACAACTGATGATATTTCAGAATTAAAAATAATGGCAGGTGATTTCCTATCCCTCTGAGTATCGGCACTATGACCTTTTATTGCCGGTGCATCTCGTGTCTAATGAGGCTCTTCTGTCCAGCAAAGACAACGTTCATACACTTAATTAATAATGAAGGACGGGTAATGATATTGTGCAGCTAACTCATCCCCGATTCCGACTCATGATCAGAGGTTAATGGGTTCAGAGCTGCCCACCCCATGTTAAATATGTCATTAGCAGCACAAAAACACACTCCTTTTGTAGTCCTTCCATCCACGTGATTTACAAATAATATGGTGCAGATAGCAGGTGATGCTTCTAGAACTTGTAAACTTGTTTATCCCTTGTGAGCAGGGCAGAAGCCATTGCCTGTAGCTCTTCAGAACACACCCAGAATGATGCTTTCAGAGTGTGAAAGGTATTTTACATCACCTGGAGGGTAGCTTGAGGGCATTTAGGAGGTGCAAAGGGAGGACTGGGAGATGTGGAAAGAACCAAACCTGGCACCAGCCTGTCTGTAAGGGCTGCTGGCCTGCAGTGTCCTTTGAACAGGGCTTGAAGCTGTGAAGGCGAGCTGTAGGGAGGAACAGGTTGTGGAGAATTTGGGGTAACAGGTTTGAAAGAGACCAAAAAGCAGTAATTGGGAAGGAAAGAAGAAATACGCATGTCGGGAGGGGGTAGGGAGGCGGGTAGGTATGCACAAGTAGTATGCACAGAGCTGCAGAGCCGTTTCCCCTCTTGCAAATATTTCTCATGTAAAATTATTTCCTGTGTTTCGCAGTGGAAAGCAGCTAAGACCTTGTAAAAAAACACACGAGGGCCTAGATTAGACAACAAATTGGTGGGTAGCAAGTGCAGGGAAGAGCCAGGTCAAAAGCAGGCCAGGCACAGACACAGCCTGAGCCTGAGAGGCGAAGGGCCAATCTGCCACCCCAGGTCAGTGCCATCACTCTGCATCTTCATCGCCGTTCCCCTACTGGAAGTTCTCGCAACAGCGGACGTGGTTTTCATCAGGAAGATTAATGATCAGACTTCTGTGTTTGCAATGTACTGAAGAAATGGCAGGCTAGCAGTCAGAAGCAGGCAGAGGTTCCTGGCTTAGTGACCGAGCTGTTTGCTCCACTCGTATCTCGCTCGAAGCTCAATCTCTACACATGCAGAAAGTGAAAATCTACACCAATCAACCAGAAAGTAAATAAACATGCCCAAGGTCCTCCCTAAGATCCCAAGATCCTCCCTAAATGCACCCTCACTGAACTCAGTTTAACGCAGGAGGACCAACGTCCAGCTTCCTTGGTGCACAGGAAAAATAAATCCTTGCCATTAGACTGTGGAGGTGCTAGACAGTCCTTGCTGCAGCCACTAGGCTGCAAAGAGACACCTGCAAAAAACAGCTAGGAAAAGAACAGCACTCTGCAAAGCTGTTAACTAATTCTTGCCTGGTTGTTTTACTCTGGAGTGGATTTCCCAGGCTTGTACCGAGGGATAGATCAAGTGGCTAGGGTGGTTATGGCCAGGCACTGTGGAAGGGGATGACCTGTACTCGTGGAATAGGTAAGGATGTACAGCTCCGTGTCCCAGCAGTGGGTCTTACCTTCCCAGCAATGCAGGAGAGTAAAAATCACCTTGTGCTGAGGGCACATAAAAATCTGTTCACTACTTAGATGCTTAACTGCTTTTCGCTGGTCCTCAGATATTAATTTTACCAGATCAGCGTGTTTTAAAAATTCCTCACAAATTACAGACGCAGAACTGAGGCTCCAGCATTCTGCCTTACGCACACAACTGTGCCAATGAGCAATTTTTTTTGGGTAGTTAAGCCACACTTATATTTTTTATTGCGTTGTTTGAATGAAAAGAATGAACTTACCTAAGGTTAATGGTGTTAGCTGATGTCTAGCAGCATGTTGTACTGCTGTGATACAGAGAAATGAGCTTTGGCGGCGTTTGTTTTTCAATGAAATTCTAAACATAGCAAATGCACGACTGAGAACTGCAACACTATTTTAAAGCCGCCACTGCAGTTAACTAAAATTGATCTCTCTAACAAGTGCTAAAAATAGAAAGAAGAGAGCACACAATGACTTTTCATATCGCTCCCTGCAGGCTCCTTAAATAAGGGCGAATATGACCTTCACGCAAAGCTGTCCCAGGGTGTGGAACAATGAGTGATATTTCACATTCCACTGCTCTAGAACAGCAATTGATTTATTACCCAGCTAGCTAGGGAATTCGTTTACATGTTTCCATTTATAACACTGCTGCATCAAAGGAAAAAAAGGAGTTTTTTGTTTTCCTTTTATTCAGCAGTTTAGAAGCAAAGCATCAATTCTGGAAGCAATAATCTGCAATGTAGTACAAAGAGTTAGACCTGACAGTCTTTTTCTACGGGCTTTCCTGCTGAAGGGGAATAAATAAAATACAGGAATCTCCTATTCTGCCCCTGTGAGAGATCCCATCAGGAAAAGATACAAGAAGATCCTGCAAACCTCCTGAATCAGGAAGCATCTTCCTGCACCCTATGCATTCTGTTGGTGGGTGCAGTCACACAATTGCCCAGATGATGAGATGTCTGCAACTGGCAGCTACTCTCAAAACATGAACACAGCATCTTTAATACAGCTGGGGAGAAACCAATCCTCATATCCCCCAAGAATTTCAAAAATAAACTCTATTTTTCATGAGCTGACCCCCACAACTGTTATTAGGTGGGATCTAAAGTATTTGTTTCAGTATGAAGGTGATTTAACATGCCATTTTTTCCTTACAGGTTATGAATGTAAATTAGACTGATTTCTAACTCGGGCCTGAAACGGGGACGTTTTCCATTTTGAACATTTTAAAAGGGATGCTTTAACAGCATTCAATGAGAACTTTTTGTAAAGATGACAACTAAATCAAAAGTAATCCTCTCCAATGAAAAGCGTTGGTTTCATCAGATAAGCATTTTCTGAGGGGAAGCACTGCCTCAGAAATCCCAGCTAGCTTCAGTTCCTGGCATAAGCAGAAGACAGAACAAAGTCTCTCTGCATTATCCATTTATATCCATTCTTTGATGGATGCTACAACTTAGCCCGTGCATTCTGCACACCATCCTCAAGAGGAAACAGTCCCAACAGAGCAATCCTGCTGGGGCTGGGGAGTGGCAGTCCTCTCTCTACAGACTTGTTACCATGAGAGATTCTCCACTCTGTTGGTGATGCAGTGATGCTTAAACACTTGATGAAGTATTCCACATCTTGAAACGCCGTACGGAGCAGGTGTGATTTAAAGCAGATACTCTACTCATGGACAAGCATTTGTCCAGTCCCTACACAAACCATCAGTTGTCTCAGCGAAACAGAAGAACAAGCACTAGAATAAATTGTGCAAGCAAGTTTGATCTGCTACGCAAACAACACTTACAAGCTGCAGATAAGATATAATTATGTATGTACCTAAAGTAAAGCTCATTTTCAAGCAAAGAACCAGTTGGTCTGCGTCAACTTAAATCCAAAGCTGTAATCCAGTTTACAGGCTTTACCCCAGCCCCCTCGAGTTATCCTCCACGCTGCAATTTCTCATTTGGTTTTGCCCAACATTTTTTTCACACAAGGACCACAGGCTTACCTGGTCCTAGCTTAGAAACTGCATAAAGGAGGTCGTAGTTGATGACAGGCGTTGCATCATCGATTGGCTGCCACCCTACAGGTGGGGAGGCTGGAGGCGAGATGAGAAACTGTTTTGCAGGCTGTGGCGGAGCCAAATGAAGCTTGTCTCCATCTGTCTCAGAGGTCTGAATCTTTAAAGCATAACAAATACACTGTTTAGTTTGTGATGGGGAAATGGAATGATTACTCAAATCATGCACTTCTAATACCAAATGCCACCCAGGCAGGGTTTCAGCATCAGTCTCAGCAGACAAGGCCTGCAGATAAATTTTCCCCTCAACCTTACAGATGGTTCCTCTACAGTAAATACGCTGCGGGGGGCTGCTACATGAGCAAAGCTACAATGTTTGTGCCAATCGTGTATGTTCTCTGAGAATAAGAGCAAAGCTTTGGTACCCACAGTTGCACTGGTAAGAGACTTCTGAGGCTAAAATGGTATTGTTGTGATCTACTTGCCTACTGTCCTAAATAAGAGCAGGCATCAGATTAGAAACCAGTAATTCTTGCACCAAGGCAGGAGTTTCGGAAACTTTTCTATTTGGTTTCTTTAGTTGATGTGATAAAGGAATCTATCATGTTCCTTAGTCATTTGCAACTAATTATACTCATTTTATTTCTACCTTAACTTCCCTAGTTTAATTCTTGCTCTTTTTTTTTTTTTTCTATTAAAGAAACCTCAGCATACACGAATTATAGCACAGCTACAGGCATACCTGAGCAAGTTTAAAACCAACTCGGGCCCAGAAGCAATGAACTGCATTTGCATGAAAGCAAGTTCAAGATAAACACCCTGCTATTTCTGAATGGATTCTGCAAAAGCCCAGTTTGGGTCTCTCCACTTCACGTTCCCCAGAATTTCTAGGTCTGGAAGTGCTGATTCATTCTGGCTCAGGGCCATACAAACACACACTGCTCCAGACACTGTGCTGCTTCCACAAACTCATTCCCTGGACACAACTAGTAAGCTCTTTTAAGATTGCGTGCACTGGAGAATATGGAGAAGATACCTAAATGGTTTTCACAGAATCACAGAATCACAGAATTTCTAGGTTGGAAGAAGCAGCTTGGATATGGAGAAGAATCATTGTTATGCAAGTTGTTCTTTTTCTTGGGTTATCTCAAATTTCCTGTTAATCTCTTGACTGTTCAACTAGAGTGAAATGACTCCCCAGTCTGCTTACCAGCAGGTTTTAAAACCTTTAAAAAAAAAAAAATCATCTGAGCCAGATCTAGGAGTTAATGGCCTTTAAAATGGGATTGAGGTAGATTTTCAACACCAAAATCCAGCTGTAAAATCTTCTGAACCATCTAACCCGTTAAGCATATTGGGGTTTTCACTGCTGCAGTTTCCCATCTTCCTGAGAAGGTTCTGCTTCTGCCTAGGCTCAAAGCAGCTCCTATCCTACCCCAGCTGTAGAGATTCAAAATTTAACAGCCTCTTCGCTTAATTAAGATCTTCAAATGAGCCTGCCCTTAACCTAAGGCCTCTATCTGGCAGCTTAAAGCATGCTCCCATTACTTATAGGCACTGGTGAGTATCCCACAAGCCACACTGACCACGGCTATTTATTAAAATACGATTAGAAGATGTGGTGGTCAGGGCTCTCAAGCTCCCTCATCTTTCTAGTTCCTGGCTGGGAGATCCAAATTCTCTCTCCCTTGGTCAAGAAGAATCAGACATTCATTTTCTACTTTCAAGTAGAAAGTGATGGATATGATCACTTATCTCCCCCAAGCTGGGGGCATTCTTCTCCCTACTATCTTGAAATTAGTAAGTTCTTCTTTTAGAAAATTCATGCATCTATTTAGTTAGGGAAAAAATGGTTGGAGAAAGCCTAACGGTGGCTCAGGGCTGCAGCCAGATAATTCAGCCCTACTTCTTTTATGACCTTACATACTTTACTGCCTTTTATTTTTTTTCTTTTATGGCTAGAAAGTTACCCACAGCAAATACCAGATGTTGTAAATCAGTTCTAAGCTATGTAACTTGTGTGTTGAATAAGCAACCTGGGTCCCAAGTGGTCCTTTAAATTAACTGTAGACCTGCAGGGCAAGTACAGCTCACGCAACAGAAGGATGTTTGAGTAATCTTTTAGCACCAATATTGGGCAAGGGAGAAACTTTTATTGCTTTTATTCAGCTTTATTGTACAATATTTCTATAAAAGCTATGCACTAACACAGAAGTAGATATGAGATTTCATTACCTGTGCGAAATACAACTTTAACTTCTTCCCTCTGAACTGTGTTTCATGCAGCTCTATCCTGGCACGAGCGGCTGATTTGGGACTACTGAAATTTATCCGCACGCGTCTGAAGCTCTTAAACAGCTGGAATGTCACACAGTCATCGTAGGCACGGAACAAGCCTTCAAATTTCTCCTGCAAATGAAAAAGAAACAACAGTGAAGATTAACTTGGTGTTCTGTCACGTCAGTCTGTTCAAACACGATCTGGAACTTGAGGACGACGGTTTAACCAGCAGGTTTCAGCCTTGGGGGTGGCTGTCCACGGGTGAATCAGGGCTCTGCAAAAAGAAGTTAGGGAAAAGCATCGGGCTGAAAAGTGCTGACCTCTGGAAAATGTCTGAGGGAAGCAGTTTTCAAATTGAGAACCCACCGGCTATTGAACTTCTCATAAAAGTTGAGCAAGACAGTGATGGCATAGCGCTTCATGAAATGAGGCTGAAAAGGGCAGAAGGCTGAGAATACCAGACGACTGATCTCATCTGTACAAAAGCAAACACTGTGCAGAATGACAACGGAGTCAGCAGACACAGCCAGGCCTGCTGGAACTGAGGGCTACATTCAAATCAGCACTGTGGTCTCGCTTTGCATTGCATATTGTGTTTTTTCTGGGTGTTTTGTCATTTAGATGCTTAGAGCAGATATAGACCTAGTCCTTGAGAGTCGGCGTAGCAGCAGGAAAAAATGATTCGATGGCTGGAAACAGTAACCTGGCCCAAAGACAAATTTCAGGCTTAAAAATGTTGCGCTACAGAACAGCATGTCCAAAAGCACGTGACGCAAATAAGGATATTTTAACACTGTGAGAGAGGTCTGAGAAGTACCAAATCTCTGGATCTGGAAATCAGCAGGAATTCAAGGTACAGTAGCACCCCTGGAGGATCAGACTCCCTCTGTTTTCTCTGTAAGCTACGGGCACACCGACTAACGTCACATCATCAGATGAACCTGATGACCTTAACTCTGATACCTGCACGGGTCTTTTCATGCACACAAGCAAACATTCATAAATGTTAAGACCAAAAAGGAGTGGTTATTACGGAGTCTAACATTTGTGCTTCCTCAGACCTGAGGCTGCCATCCAGCGAGGACCACGTGAAGTCCTAACATTTTAACATCTGCAGTCAAGACTTGAAGCCTTACAAGATGGGGAATCAACCAGAACAAAATCCCTTTTATTAGGAGTTCTTCATCCTGCAAAAAAACTTGTTTGAAGTATTTCATCCACTGAAGGCTATTGTGTCAGGTGGGAAATAACCTCACATGTGCTCTCACATATCCGAAAGTAAGCACTTTCTTACATATTTAGGTGACTTCTCATGGAGGAAAATAATTTCTTATCTCTCAGAGTGGCTAACGGGTAGGGGCTGCAGAAGGAGAAACAGAAAAATCCATTTGTGTAATCTGATCAATACTTCAGTCCTCATCTGCTACATGACAAAGAGTACAAAACTTCTTGAAAAATGTGCCCCAAAGAACCACAGGCAGCAGGGGGCCATGAGCAGAGCTGCGTCCTCCTGCCAGCACCAGAGGCTTGTGAAAGAGTTAACTGGAGAACGAACCAGTTGCATGGCAAAGAACACGAAACCTCGGTGCGCATGTTCCACGCTTCCTTTCATTCCCTGCCAGCTCTGTGGTCTTCTTCCCCATAACTGATATTCCGTCCCTGGCAGCCTTTCAGAAGAACCTCCCCGTGGTCTATTAAGCTTTCATGATTTTCATTTCATTTTGCCTGACCTCGCTCACCTCTTCCTCTCACCACAGGGGATACTTTGAAGGGGAAAAAAAAAAAGAAGAGAAGAGAGCTCAGTGGTTTGGTCGGGGGTGAGGAAAGGCACACAGCAATCCCACAAACAGCAGGAAGCTGATGGGTTTGCACAAGCGGGTCTAGTCACAGCACCCAGCATTTAAATTGTCAATATTTCACACCTTTGCTTGATTTTTTTTTTAAGACTTTTTTTTTTTTTAACATTTTTTGCACAATTTAATTTTCCCAAGCAGACATCTGCCTCAGGTTGGAATTCGTCTAAAGGTCAGCCAAACACAGCAGTCCCCGCAGCCCTGGCCGGGTTGGGATGCCGTCCGTGCAGCCTGCAGGGACCTGGGCAAAAAGGGCTGAGGAGGGAGGCAACAGGACAGCAGAGGGACGTACATGTAGAGTTAACTGATAATATCGAGTACTTGGGATGTAACTACCTGTTGCAGCTGGCTGTTTAGTAGGAAAAAGATTCCTGGTTTTTCACCCTGGCCAGTCTCACGCCTGCCTTCTTGCACAGCACATAAAAAGCCCATGGGGTCCAGCCCTTAGGGGACAGCACATCCCCTAAGGATGTGGGACAGCAGGGAAGGGAACCAGCCTCCAGCTCATCCCAACACCAAGCACAGCCACTGCACCAGCCAAAGGGATCCACACAGCTCGCTTTTGCTGTGTTTTTGGCTGATTATCATAATGACCTCAGCAAAGGTCATTAATCACCAGCTGCAGCTAATGGCCCTCAGCTGCATCTTGAGCCGGCCCAGCTCCTCCCTGCTGGATATTAATTCCCAGCAAGAGCTTCATGCCTTCATTGCTCTGGCCTGTGACTTCTGGTAGCTGCTGAATGCACTTAGCTGGGTAAAAGTCCTTCAGAGCCACTCTGGTCTGTAAGAGAATGGATCTTATACATCTTAAAGACCTTTAGCAAATTCTCTCCCCCTTCAAGTCTTTTGGATAAATAATTCAGGACTCAATCATCTCAATTCAGGGCTTTTAAAGCACTTTTATGATTCAGGATTTTTAAAATGCTTTTAAGTCTCTAAACTTTCCGAATACTTTTTAAATTTCTGAAAAATCAGAGAGAAATGTCTGAGGTTAGGCTGTAGCGTTGCTTATCTTAGAGTAGAAAGTGAGTCAAAATGCAGAAAGTCATGAAGCTGTGCGTTTATTTCCTGGATCCTGGCAATCTTCATCCATCCAAAGTACGTCTCTGGGGGACCCAATTAATGCTCTGACAAATTTCAGTGCTGTTCATTTGACCAGCACTGCAGTTCTCATCCACTCCCCTGGGGACTCTGTGCCCCCTCATCAGCACTGGCTGCCCTTCCCCATACCGCATCTGCAACCTCACCTTGGCTCCTGTATCCCATCACTCAGCATCCTTAGAAGTTCCTGGGCTTTTTATTATTATTATTATTATTAACAAAATTAGCATGATGTAGGACAGCTGCTGATTACCAGGGAGCTGGGGGTCAGCCTCTTCTCGCAGGTAACTAGTGATAGGACTAGAGGGAATGGCCTCAAGTTGTGCCAGGGGAGGTTCAGGCTGGAAATGAGGAGACATTTCTGCTCAGAAAGAGCAGTCAGGCACTAGGACGGGTTGCCCAGGGAGGTGGTGGAGTCACCATCCCTGGGGGTGTTCAAGGAGAGATTGGACATGGTGCTTGGGGACATGGTTCAGTGGTGACACTTGGTGGTAGGGGCGGTGGTTGGACCAGATGATCTTGGAGGACTTCTCCAACCTGAATGATTCTGGGATTTATGACAGCTGATGTGAGGATGAGCAGAGCACCATCCAAGGAAGAAGGGGTGCTGCAGTGAAATCCAAGCTCCATAGTCGCAGAGCACGAGGGCAAAGTTGTGCACCCATGGACGCAAACCTATTGCTGCTACTAAACAGGAGCCTGCCGGGGGAACTGGAGCCTGCAAGGCACACAACAGAAGCGACCTGGTGAAATGCAGCCATGAGGAGGCAAACAAAGCACTGGATGCATCTGGAAAAGTATTTCCAGCAAAGCAAGGGAAGCATTAACAAGTTTATATAAAGCCCCATTACACCTCATTAAGGTTACAGGCTTTGCTGCCTGCATCCCACAAAGATTAAGGCAAATGGGAACAGGTTCCCGTAACGGCTACCAAGATAAAAGGAATGAACAACTTACCGAGTAAGAAATTAAAATGCTTAGTTTATTTAGCAAAGTCAAGCCGGAGAGGAGACATGACTGCCATCCGTAATTTACCAGAACGGTGCAGAGTAAAGAAAAAGCTATTGAAACCGGAGGGCTGTGTTGGCAGAAAACAAGCGGAAACAATCGGCATGAATAGGTTTAGTCTGGAAGTTAGGCAAAGGGAGTAATGACTCAGAAACAGCCTTCCAATTACAGTAGCAGTGGCGAAAGGCTTTTTGAGGATGGCGTTCGGTCAGTTCATGCGAGGGACCACGAGAAAGTATCCACACAAGCACTGCAAACCAAGGCTGCCTGAATTAGCAAGTGAATGGGGCTGTGCCGAGGCAAGTTCCTTCCAGTGCTGTGTCCCTGTGATTTATTTCCAAACACTTCGTCCATGAATAGCTCCGCTGCTATTGTGCTCGCTCAGGACAAAAGCCAAAGCCTAATTCAAATCAATGGAAGTCTTTCCACAGCCGTCAGTGAGCGCTGGATTCGAGCCCTAGAGCTGCAACACAAATTACGTTTTATTCTTCAGCATGTTTACGCGCATTATCACCCTTGTTACACATTTGATTTAGGAGATGGTTGTGATTTAAAACTTCAGCCTAATCCTTTTTCCTGGAGTTTTGTAGGCAAACAAAGCAAACGTTTTTTCAATTTCCATTTTTCTGTTCATTTATATAAAAGAGAATCCAAGTAACTAATTGTATGCAACAACCAAGACATAATTTACAGTTATGAAATAGTTTTTTTCCTGAAATGAGTTCTGCATTTGATATAAGCTTTCTTAGAAGAAAAACTCCTATCTCGGAGCCCAATGTCTTCTGTTTCAGTGCAGCCACACGGGTTGTAACACCACAGAGCTCTCACGGAGCACCGGATGAAAGATGAAAATTGGCAGAACATGCGGAGGCTGCGCTCTTCGAAGTCAAGCATTGATTGAAAATTGAAAGAAAAGAAAAATTGAAATTGAAAAATCAATGGAAAGTTCCCAGTTTACAGCAATGAGAATGGGCTGGCAGCTTAATCCTAGAGGGACGGAAAGTCATTGAAGTGGCACACTTCTGTGTGTACGTGTATATATATACATATGAGATGCTAGGAAATATCATCAGGAAGTAATTTCAAGATTGCGATGTGTCAGTGACACTTAAAGGGTACCCTAATGAGCTAATCTGGCTGTGGATGGCTCTTGTCATCCGAGATCAT